CAACAATGACCGGGCATTGTTAACCTTTTGTAAACGTTTTTAAAAATAAATGGGCAATGTCGACAATGCCCACTGATTTTGGGCATTGTCGACAATGCCCGGGCATTCTCGGACATTGCCCGCCTCCCGCACATTGCCCGTAACATATATATATATATATATATATACGAGTACAGCGAGTTCCCGCGTTGTGTCGAAATTCTCGCTTAGTGTTCATTTGAGACAAATTCTGAACGGTATGCGAGTCGGAATGCTTCGTGAGTTGAATGGTAGGTGAGTACTGAGATCTCCCGCATAGCGTCGAAGTTTTCGCCTACCGTTCATTCTTGAAAAACCAGTGGCGTTGGCGGCGATATCTTTTTGTAATATAGATATATAGATGTATGTCGCTCTACGAGAGAAGGGACTTTACGTAAAAAAAATTTTATGTTATGTTTGTAATTATTAAAGTGAAAATACTCACAGAGAATCAACTATCAATACTAAACATTTATGTTTAAGTTTCCATTACATTAAAAGATTCAATGAAGCTCATACGTTTATTTTACATAATTAAAAAGAAACTTTTTATCAAGGTAAAACTATCACTAAACATAACCTAACATTTTTTTTGACGTAAAGTCCGTTCTCTCGTGGAGCGTCACATATGTAAATAAAAAATTTATAACATTTTAGAAATGATGAAAAATAGAAAAAAAATTGTTCAGTATTAACGAAAAATCTCTCTCTGAATCCATATCTTTGAGCAACAGTTTGCTCAGAAAGGTTAACGCCCCAACAAATTAAACTTCCCTCTTTAACATATATAAGTGAACCTTGTCATGAAAATGATGACTATTTTACTATTACTATATACATATAATAAAAGCTATTCTCATAAGAAAAGAATCGTTTTTTGAATGAGATGATTTTTATTGATAATTTTTTACTTCTGATTTTCAGGGGTGTGGAAGTTTGTCTTGTTTAGAATTAATATTATATAAAATATATATATATATATATATTAATGTATACTTACAACGTGTGTTATCTTAGTACTGAGCCGGTCGACCTTAGTCTTTATCATCTTTTAAGGTCTGGCAAAACACGCATCCCCAGAGTTTGTGGTGCACCGGTTTTGATGGTCGAGTTGGTATATTTTCACGATCGATCGTGTAGGCCAGGATCGTGAGTCCGTAAGCCGTGAGGTTTCAACCAACACGAAAGAGAGAGAGAGAGCGAGCTCAGGGCTGGCTTCGCATTGGCTGTGACCTTGACCTACGGGGTTGTTCTCGCGCCGGCGTCGCGTCCTTGCTTCTTCTCTCTCACACTTTTTACCATTTTCCTTTTACTATATATATGTGTGTGTATAATTATCTCTTTTTATCTTATATATACAAGAGATACATTTCTTCTGATGCTACCAATTTCTTTTCTTCTTCTTTTTCGTGCACTTAATTATCTTCTTTCTTTCTACGACTTCTCTTTTTTATCCTGTACCTTTCAAATCATTGTTTTGTATTCTTCTTCTTTTTTGCGATTTTTCCGATCAACAAACTTGTCTTCTGTTTTAATTTCCTTTAATTTTGAGACTATTTTTCAGTTTTTCTTTTTCATCTGCATCTTCAATTTTTCTTGTCTTCTTTTTTTATTTTTAAACTTCTCTTTTTTTTCATTTCTTCACCTTAACAGAATCTGCACTGTAAAAAGAAAGTACTAAAATAGTACCGATTTAAGGTATCAAAATAGAACCAAATGACAATTTAGTATCTAAAGTCGGTACTAAATTAATACCTTTTGTTTTACAGTGTGATTGTGTCTGGCCCATAATATGTTAATTTTGTCTGGAAGTTTACTATTTATTTATTGAAAATATACGAGTAGAGTCCATTCGTAAAGAGTACTGATAAGATACATTAAGAGCAGGTCAAAGTCGTTGCAATTTTTCCATTGAAGCTCTATGTAAAAATTGCATCGGCTTTGATCTACCCTTAAGGGGACTTGCTGGTTTAGAATTGACAAAAGACACGTTTTCAAACTTCTTTTTCTAAGGAAAGTATTAAAGAAATTGCAAAAATTCTTTTTGAACATTGTTGCACATTACGTAGAGGAAATTTAAAAAAAAAAATGTTTGCGTGTATTTAGTTCAATTTCATAGCTGTAGGTGGCGTTTTCAAAATGGTACCCTTTTCTTGGTGCACTTGATTACGGACAATCTGTAATATATAAATTCAAATGGGAATTTCTTTATAAGGGTTTATTCTAGACAATAAACCTAAAAAACTATATTTTAAAAGGTTTTTTTTTTATTTTTTATGTACATTTTTCTCAAAAATTCGCTGTTACAAAAAATATGGTTATGTTACCCACTACAATCAAGATGTTACTCCGTACAATCTGGATTGTAACTGATATCAGTTAAAATCCAAATTGTACAAGACGAACTTCCACAGCCCTAAAAATCAGAAGTAAAAAATTGATGGTAGTGGGTAACATAACCATATTTTATTGTCAGTTCAAAACAAAACCAGAGCCATATTTATTTATCAGTTCCCCCAAAGCATTTCTTTCAGTGCACTAAGTAGCATAATGATGGTATCGCATAACATCTAATTTTAAACATCAAAATCTTACTATCCATTTCTCTCAGTGAGTTCTAAACCACAAAGTCCCATTAAATGGTTGCATTGTTATTATTTTCGTCGAAAATTAAGCTACGCAATTCTTTGATGAAAGTGGTAATGGTGTGTTTTTAGGTGACCTTTGTGGCACATAGAAATCAAATAAAAACAACAGATTTGAGCAATAATTTTAAATAAAAGAAGAAGATCAGCAAACAAAAATTTTTGATATATTAAGGGTATCTTAAGCTCATATTTAAGTACAGTGCAGTTATGATTATTGTAGTCGAAAGGTAAATCAGTTTGTCTGGCTACAAAACGCAAAAATCTGTTTTAAACCCGCTCAATTGAAACCAAAAGATCGTCTTGTCACAATCGCCATAGTATAGGGTGAAAATTCAATTATCGGTCTAACCAATAAGAAATATAAGCATTTCAAAGTTTTGATGTTTTTAAAGTGTTTAGAATATCTGGTAATGAAACCCAAGACTCTAGTGGCTTTATTAACAGTATATATATAATGTGATCAGTAAAAGAAAACTTGCAATCAATAAGTACACTAAGAGCACAGAACAAAAACACTCTGCTAAGCTCTTCATCACCAATAGTGTATTTATAGTTAAGAAATTCTGTAGATCTATGAAATGAAATGACAATACATTTTTTTTTTTGTTAAAAAATAGATTGTTTTTTAAAGATCACTCATAGAGTTGTTTGAGATCAGATTGTAAATTTTTTTTGTCCTGAATGCAGGAAATTCACTTAAATATTTTTAAATCATCAGCAAATTTAATATTTATAATATTATCGAAATTTTCATTTATTCAGATTTAGAAAATATACTTTGGAAAATTTAAAAAAAATCTGAGGTAAGGTGTTACATAAGTCAATGTCCTTCTTATAGTCTTCTTTTTAAATTTCTTCAACTCTTTTCAATCATTATTTTGTTCTTCCTTTTATTATTGTTTTAAACATATAGTTAAAATTAAATTAAATTTACAGTTAACATGAAAACATAAAATTGATCCAAATTTTTATATTAATTTAAAACTTTTGGTATCAATTTGATTTAATCTAAAAAAAGAACTTCGACCCTGGAAAGTAGGTTACAAAAATTGGTTCCCTTATGAAAAATAATTACTGGAAATAATTACAGTCATAATTATTGGAATAACTACTGGATTAATTTGCAGGAAACTTCAGTAATTTTTTTGCGAGATATATTTTTTTATTAGTTACAACAGATTTTTTTTTTTTTTTTTTTTTTTTAATTCAATGGAATCGAAATTATCTGTTAAATATATATATATATGCCTATGCATTTAATTTAAAACAAAAAACTATTGTGCAGACATAGGAGCTGTAGAAACTTACAATTAGTGTGCAACAAGTAAATTTTTGACAAATGTATGGCGAAAAAATTACTGGAGTTTTTAGTAAATAATTCAACAGTTATTCTAGTAATTAGCCCATCAGAAGTTATCCCAATAATTCTGCCAGTAATTTTTTCCTTTTTCTTTATAAAATTTTGTTTATACATTTTTTCGACAACTAATGTTGTTCCACTAAAACCATAATAAAATAAATATTTTACTATAAAAATTAGTGAAAATTTCCATTAATTTTTAGTCATTTTTCATTAAAACTTTAGTAAAAAAAAAAAAATATTACTAAATTAAATAGTAATATTTTACTAAAAATTAGTGAAAATTTTTTACTTATTTGAAGTGAGTGAAAAATTTTCTAAAATTTTCGCCAATTTAAATTTAGAGTGTAGGACAACAAATTAATTAAACCTATTTCAGAACTTTTAATTTTTAACTGAAACGTTTGAGTATAGTAATTCCCCTTTTATACATAAATACATTACTTATTTATTATCAAAAAATCAAAAGATAAGAATTTACAAAGGAAAAAGTCCTGTGAGTACAAAGGTCTTTAACCTCTAAATTTCTTTCTTTCTTTTAATTTCCATCTTTTTCTATCTCTCTTTAAAATTCTACTTTCCTTTTTTCCAGCTTTTAATCAGACAAAAATTAACTAGATTAAACGTATTTCCCTACTTTTTCTCTTTAATTTAATTATATATATTTCATTTCTCATTCCATTATTATTATTTTTTTTTTTTTTGAATCTCTTGATTTAATCTGAAGAAATCGTTTTTTTTTTCTTTGCTTCAGAATATTTATGATCTCTCTTCTCTTCGCATTTGACGAATTTCATTTTTGTTTTTATTGCTTTTATACCCATCATTGTAACTCTCTGTCTACTCTGAATGTGTGTCGTTTTCTCATTCCACTACTCTCACCCTTCTCAACTTTCGCTCGAATCGCGCTCAAAACACCCCCTTTTCTCATGCCTCCCAAGCGCAACGGCGATCCAGCCGCAGTTCATCGCGGGTCGTTCCAAAGAGTGCCAGGGAAGATTTAGATCCAATTTTCTATATAGGGAAACAATCAAGATTGTGCCAAAAAAAAAAATCTGCCATGCATCTGACAGCAGAAGCATGCAGGTGGGTTTTCAAAAAAAAAAATTTTTTTTTTTAACTGCTCTCTAAATTTGAATTAGTAAAAATGATTACTAATTTAAATTAGTGACTCACTTTATGCTTTAGAATTAGTTAAATTTTACTAATTGTTAGTAAAAGGTATTAATAATTAGTAAAATTTTACTAATTCAGAAGCAAAAAGTGAGTCACTAATTTAAATTAGTAAATATTTTTACTAATTCAGATTTAGAGAGTGGGAACTATTTTTTTTTTTATTAATTAATTTATTTTAATTGTTAGATGTGTGCTTTAGAGTAAAGAAAAAATAAAATATTATAAAAAAATATATAGGAAATGAAAGTTTAATAGAGGAGCAAAAAAAAAAAAAAAAAGCGAAACTTCGTGTAAAAAGTTGTTGCAAGTTTTATTGATCAGACTTTAAGTTGGATCAGTGAAGCGGGAGCGACCTGAACTGAGAGTTATAAAGCAGCGAAGATGAATTGAAAAATAAAAAAAAAAAAAAGGATAATAAATATGATTCCTCGAAAAATACGTGTGTGATGCTTGAGGAAGAGTTTACAGAAACAGTGAGTTTAGGATTTTTAGGAGCATTTGAATTGCTGAGAGAAATTATAAATTTCTTTTTCAGTTAATTTTTTATTTTCCAGTAAAAATATTTCTTTAAGAAACATGAATGCTGAGATTTTCTATTTTATAGTTGTAGATTTTTACAAAGTTATTTATTTATTTATTTTTTTTTTTGCATGTTCGTAATGAAAGATTTAATTAAAATATGTATACGCTTATCAAAATTATTCCATTATATACGAGTTTTGATAAATTACGCCTAAGAATGTTAATTAATTTTTTTTTTAATTTCATTGAATATCTCTCGATATATTTGAATTAGTGAAAAATTATACTAACTGTCCAATAATTTTCAATCAATGAAAAATTGGGAATGCAAATTTTTAGCTTATTTTTGCTTACAAAAATTTATTATTAACAATAGTAAATTAAATTCGTTAATATGATTAAACTTTTTCTATATTATTTTTTGTATTCTTAATTTTATTTAATAATTAAAAAAATATTATTAATTTATATCTATTATTATGAATTTGTTAAATTTTAATTATATTAAATAAAACATTCTTTTATATCTTATAAAAAGAAATAAACTACAATAATTAATAATGATTATTTAGGATTTATTGTGCTATTAATAATAAATTAAATAATTATATGTAATAAATGAAAAATTGAAATATAAAAATAAGAATGTCTGAATTCGGTACAAATTTTATCGAAATAAAAAAGTAAAACTATAGAAAAATTTACTAAAAGCGCTGTTTGTATTTTCCGTTTAATTAAACAGCTAATTGAATAAATTAATTAAATATAAATTCAGTTGTTACTTTTACATTTATTTTCATCTGTTTTTCCGCGTAAATGATTTCTTTAATGTTTCTTTTTTAAATTAATGTTTTTATTTTTTTAGCGCTTAATTTATTAAAAGTTAATTTTTTTTAATTATTAAGGACTCCAATAGTTTTATAAATGAAAAAATTCTAGAGGTATGATTTTTTTTTTTTATTTAAAATATCTCGTAAAATTTTTACAATTATTATTACACTGAAAAACATTATTCATAATTGAAGAACATATCTTGGCTTATATTTAAAAATAAAATCGTCTGCTTTTAGTTAGATTATAATTTAAAATCAGAAAAAATTATCTCAATATAGAATTTAAGTTCTTAATTTAAAAAATATTTTTTATTTTTTTTAAATTTTATTATTAAAATAGTATTTCTTATTTTTAAATAGAAGCCAATATATACTCTTATATTTAGAATAAAAGATTTCCATTGCAATAATTATAATTAAATTGTAATATTACCTCGAATAATATTGAAATGGTTTATTAAATAGACATTTACGAGAAGTAACAATCAATTTCAATTTTAATGGAAAATTCATTACCTAATATTCTGTTGATTGACCATAAATAATTAGTCGCAATTAAAATTTTGTACTAAATTTAGTCATATAAGTTCAAAATTGCTATTCATAATAAATTTTACAGGATATTAATTTGAGCGTTAAATTATTCTGGAATGTATAGTAATTAAACTTGACTTATGAAAATAAATTTTTGATTATCAAACTTATAAATGTATTAGTCTACATCAATCAGTATTTTCTCAATGCTCGCATAATAATGTTCTATTTATAAATTATGTAAAAAAAACATTAATAAGTTTTTAAACCTTTTTTTTTACTTTACTATTTTTGAAATTTACTTTGAAAGTTTGCTTTTTTTAATAACATGAAAATCTTTTTAGTCTGTAAAATAGATATTGTTTAATAAAATTGAATTTTTCTAATAAGCTATAGCATGTAAATTTTGCTTAAATTATTTGCTAATGTTCCACACAGTTGGATGTAATTTTTATAATCAATACATCATAATTTTACATAATCAGTTGTATATAGAGATTTTTTCAAAAAAAAAAAATTTTACATTTTCCACTTTCTATAATAAATCTTGTACTATTTGCACGTATTGCATTTTTTTTTGTTTTGGTCCTTCCATTTTCCATTGAACGATAAATCAGATTTTAGTAAAATACGATCAACAAAGAAGACATAGCAAACAAGTGAAACACAATATATCGGTTTATAAATATATGTTGACAAAATATGTATGTGAAATTTGTAAAAATATTTTATTTGTCAAATAAATATAAAACTAAACAGTTAAAAGTAAAGTTTTAAATTTAAAATTTTTGTCATTCAAAAATTTTTTTAAAAATATTATCTAATTTATCAATACTAAAAATTAATGTTATTAGATTAAAAAAAATAATTATGAAGAAACTCTAGTCTTAAAATAAACATCTATAAATATTAATACGTACCTATAAAAACATAAGTCAAGAAAGTGAAAGTGTCACTATATATATATATACATTTCTAAATAAAGATTTCCAATTGCAACAAATAAAAAAAAAAGCAGAAAATATGTAATATATTGGAATTTTTATTTACCGTTTTCAAAAAAAATCATAAAGATCTTTAAAAAGAATTCGTGACCGAATAAAGTCGCGTGACAACCACGAGCTCTTTATAGTTTTCATCGATTCAAGACGAGGACAAACACGGTTTTGAGTTTTAAAAGTAAATTTGCCACTAGTGACCACGTGGAATAAATTTTACCTTAATCATGAAAATAAAAATTACTTGATATTATTTATTGAAGCTTCCTTTAATTTTCAATGCGTATACTTTTACCCCCCGTGATGTGCGATTTATTTACCTTTAAAAAAAAAAATGAAGAAGAATCATTGCGAGCGCATCATGGAAAAATTGCAGAAATTGAAAAGCAAACCCCGCTTCATCAATATTTTATCAATGCCATGTTTTTTTATAGCATTTGATGCATATCTTTCTACCCTCTCAAGGTATTCAGTGTATTATAATGATATACTTCTATAGAAATATTAAACGATTTTAAATTTTTTCCATTTTTCTTTATACTTTCGATTTCAATTTTCTAGAAATCTTTCAAGAAAATTTATGGTAGAAGAAATAAATTTTTATAAAATATTATACTAAAAAAAGGGGGGGGGAGCATAAAAAGATAATAAAATCATCATAAAAATCATTAATTAAAAATTACACTTTAAAAAACTTCATTAAATTAAATTTTATTTTTTAAAAAAATTCTTATTTAAACGAATATTAATTTAGCGGAATTCTCATTTAACAGAATTTTGCAAATGGACGACCAACAATCGACGCGAATTTTAAAATTAACCAATCACAATTTTCTTGAAATTTGTCAATTTGAATTTGGACAAATTAAAATTGAGATAAATGAAGATTTGGTTAATTTGAAAATTCTGGTATTTAAAAATTCGAATCACATAAAATTCTGTTGAATAAATAAATAAAAAAGTTAAGTAAAGGAAAATGCTGTAAAAATAAAAAAAAGTAATTAAATTAAATTTTCTAATTATTAGATAAATTATTTTAAATATTTAAATTTTTGATTTATATAAGAAAAAGAAAATAAAATTTAAAAATTCTGCATTAAAATATCATTGCTATAGGATAAAAATACATTTACTATTTGTATTTTTTGTTTTCTTTTTCACACACATGAAAATGCATTATTCTCTTTTGTTTTTTTAATATATTCAATTGTTGTAGTGTATTTCGTAGCCAAGACCTTGTAACAATAATTTAACAGTCGTTTAAGAAGCTGTATATATTTTTAAGAGAGAGAGAGAGAGAAAATATCAGCGCATACTTACAACAAATTCAATACTGAATAATGCCGGAAGTTTGCATATCGCAGATCTGCATGCACAAGTTGGCAGACAACCAAGTTCAAGAACTTTAATGTGGTGCCTATACAACATTAAAAATTTTACAAACAATATTTATATCTTCTCTCACACTTTTTACACTTTTTTTTACATACTATATACAATATAATATAGACAAAATTTAATATCAAATAACCAAGATAACAACAGGAGCCATCGTTATTTCAAACTTGCTTCAATTTCAGTATAATTATATAGTGTGTAATTAGAGAGCAACTTTATTTATAAGTATAGATTTTCTATTCTATATAATTACTTATAATCTCTATGAAAACAAGTAATAGAATATTTTTGTAGGATATCCATTTAGAAAAAATATATATATTTTCTAATATATAGGGGAGCTAAGGTCTGATTGTTTTAGTTTTTCTTTTTATAGCTCTATTAGATTACATTTTTTTAAAAATAATTTCAATGAATATATGGGGTCATCCATAAAGCATGTGATACATTTTTTCAGAATTTTAACACCCCCCCTTCCCCTTGTGATGCTTTTTCCAATACCGATTAATATGGAGTGTGATATTTTGCTGACCCCCCCCCCCCCCTACCCCCTAAAGTATCACATGCTTTATGGATGACCCCTATTATAAAATTCTCAAATAGAGAAAATTACAGGTATTTTGTTTTTAAAAAATACTTAGTATCTCAATTTTAACCTTCGATTTTAAAAAATTTTATTAGTTAATCCTAAAAATTTAAAGTTATTTCCAAAACCTTTACATGCATTGCTTGTATTATTGTACACTAAACAAAAAGAAGTTGAATTTCAACTCCCAAGGGGATGCTATAAAAGTCCCAATCTTTTGGAGTTTATAAACGAAGGGAATTAATGCTTTACGAGTTAATTTTATCCCTAGGGAATTAGTTTTAAGGAGTTATAATTTAATTATTAACTCCCTTTTCGAGTTGATTTTTAACTCCCTAAATTTTTGTTACAGAGTATTGTAATTTATTGCAAAAATGAATTCTTGATAATAGCAATTTTATCATTTTTTATAATTTATTGTGTACTCTGAAATTTGTTACAATCAACCTTCAGCTTTTGTATTTTATAAAAAATATCAATTTTTTTTATTTTTTAAAATAGAAATGTAAAAATTTTGATTTTTTTTCTAAAGTTTCTGATATCTATATATCTATTATACATTTTTCTAAAAACTTTTATTAATTTTTGAAATAATGTACCTGTCAACCGGGATAAATTTAGGACAAAAGACGCAATTTTTTCCATTTCTTTTATTGTCAAAATTCCAAATTGATACTAAAAAAAAAAAAAAATTTAACTATTGGAAAACATAGTAAACATCCTTCCGAAGGTTTCATCCAAGTTTTACTACGCCAAATTTTATTTTGTCAGAGCTATTTAAATTTAATTTATGTTCCAAATTTACCTCGCGATTGAGGTAAGTTTGGGTCAAATTTTGTAATTTATTAAAAACATCAAATATAACATATTTCTTTAGGCTTAAAATATAAATAAAATCAGTTTATTAACAGCATGTGATTGTTACACTGTTAAAAATATCCATGGGGAATTTAATATACTTGTATATGAAGTAATTTGCATATACCGTATATTAAATTTAATATACCACAATGTTGTGATATTAATACACAGGTATATTAATATCAATATATTTGTGTATATTAAATTTAATTTACTGCGGTATATTAATATTAATATACCGGTATATTAAATTTAAAACATCAAAATCTCATGCTAAAATTGTTATAAAAAAAATAATTTAAACAATTAATAAAAATAAACATTAATTATAACTAATACTATCATTTATAATTTTATCTACTTGTATCTTTTACGTTCGAATCTCAGAATTAAATTAAAATTTGAACCCTACGGGGATTGAACCCAGGCGCACCTACCTAATCTAAGACCTAACGCTAACGCTTTAACTACCGCGACTAAATAACCGAATTAGAAGTTAATATTCGCACTGTCCATATAAACTGTAACTGCTGAAGACATAAGATTGTGTAAAATATTTAAACATTTCGATTTAGTTATTATACAAAATTAAAGATATATTTAAAATAAAAATTTATTACTTATTTAAAATACAATTAGTGTCTCTAATTATTAATATTTTTTCTACTTCACCTAGATAGTTGCAATTTTTATTAATTTAAAATTTTCTAATCCCATTTAAAGTATTTAAAGTAATAAGATATAGACAGTATTGTCGTAATTTAAATTTCTTTTTACAATTTACCTAAAATCATCCAATTCTTCCATAATTTTACATTATACAGTAATAAGAATGTTCTAAAAAAAAGAAATGCTTTGAAATAAATTTTTGATAAATATTTAAAGAAATTATTGTTGCTGAATATTAACTTTTTGCATAATGCAACTAGACAAAGATGATTTGTAACTTTTATCACAAATGCTGTTTATTCACCTCTTATTTTTTTTTTCGTCTGAAAAATGTTTACACTTTTCTTATCAACAACTTGAAAGAGAAATATTTTTATACAAACAAATGTATTATTTTTTCTTTGAGAAAGTACTAATTTTTTTATTTATGGATGGTAATTGTTGTGAAATTCAACTAAATAAATATTTAAAATGAAAATGAACGAAATTTAGTGGAAAGTCATTTGAATCTATACCATTATTAACCTTAAAACTACAGGGGAAAAAATTGTGTAAGTATATTTAATAGAAGCGAATTTAAAAAATTTTTTAAGTAAACTTTTAGAGTTGTACACTGAAAACAATTTATTTGATTCAAACAACCTGCCACTTGACTATTATGTCAAATAAATATTTAATTAAAATAAGTAATATTGTAGTAATTATTAAATTAATTAAAAATAATATAATTGCATTACTAAAAAAAAATACAAATTAATATTTATTCGATAAAAGCTAATCAAATAGTCGATTAATCACTGAAAAAACCTAGTTTCAAATTGAGTATGAATGTTTCAAATTGATTATGAATAAAATTCCATATTTAATTTGATAATTATCCCAGTTTCATTTTTGCTGCGAATCAAATTGAGTATGGAATTTATACTTAATTTGAAACCAGGTTTTTTCTGTGATATTTAATGATATCAAATATTTTAATCAAATAAATTTTTGATTCAATGCAAAACGTAAAAGTTGAAAATAAATCATTAAAATAACTACTCTTTTAAACATATAAGACACGTACAAATTTAGGATAAATAAAGCATTAATACACTAATGTATTAATATTACTATATATAGATGTACATTACATTAACTTAGAGTACATGTATTTTAAAGTTAATATACCGTGGTATATTAAAAGTATATTAAATTTACAAACATCAGGATTAAGACACCAGTATATTAATATTACCACAAAAAGGTATCTTAATATAATTCAAAGTACAGTTTCTTAAATTTAATATATATTGGTATATTAAAAATGTTGTAAATTTACGAACATTTTTAACAGTGTATATAATGTGATCGTTCCAATGTTAATTTCTCCATCTTTTTTCTCGTAAAATACTGAATGAATCGAGTTGATATTTTGTGGAGAATTCTAAAATATTATGAGGAAGAACTGAGATCTATAAAAACTGAAATTTTTACAAATAATTATAATTAATTATTATAATAATAATTTCCAAGTATTTTCTAATAACAAATATTACATTTTTCTCAAATCACAGACATTCCTTATAACATTTTAGACATCTCCACAGAATATTAACAAAATATTATTATTATTAAAATGTTGTTATAAATAAATAAACTGAGCACTTATCTTTTAAATCTTTTATTAAATTTCACATATAATTCGAAGATATTTATTATAGATTTTTATGATTTTTTTAAAAATCAATTTTCCATTTTATAAATCATCGAAATTATTATTTACAGAAAACACGCAAAATTAAAACAATTTAATATAAAGATTTTATTTTAAAAAAAAACTTGCTTGTTCCAAACTAACCCATGTTATTCCAAACTTATCCCGGTTTTAAGTAAATATGTAATTTAAATTTTGTTTTGCAACAAAGAATAATTGATAAAATGTCTGCGAAATTGCTTTCAATTATTATTAAATTTAAAAATCTCAATATATGAGAAGAAAAATGAACAAAATTGTAGAAATTTAAAATATCACAATTTAGAAAAAACAGAAATGTATAAAATTTACTTTTCAGATAAAGTTTATACCCATTTTTTGCCATTATAATTTATAAGCTAGTACATGTAATATAATTAATTAACATTCATTTTACCTCAAAAGCAAAATATTAATTTAAAATGAACATTTAATTTAATTAATAATTAATTAGAATAATAAAGCGAAATTCTAAATTTATCATTTTTGCTTCAACATATGAAAATAAAATTTTAATATGTAATGTATTTTTAGAATAAAAATGTAAATTCAATTTTTAACCATATAGGTACTATATTTTATATTACTAAATAAATTATGTATTTATATTATTTAATAAATTATTAAATAAATTTCTTTTCATTAAACTTTTAAATAAATAAAGAATTATTATTACCATCAAAACGCTTATTATAAATTATTAAAATCATTCTATATCTAATTCATAACATTCAATATTTTATTATATATAAGTGAGACTCGTGCATTTAGTATACATCAAAGAGGAAATTATATATACAGTTAACATTGCATAATCTCCCTTGTTATCATAAATTCAAGCTGATAACTTTAATCTCATACATGATCTTTATTATATCACGAATAATTTAGATATTTATAGCTTTCCCAAAATCTTATAATCTATCGCAAGGGAACTGTTGAGTATGTTACAATAATAATTTGTTAAAAAATAATTGATAACAGAATGATTAAATGTGTATATATATATAGGTATATATGTTTCATATAAAGAAAACATGTAATGTAAATTGAAATAGTGTCGATTAAATAAAAAAGAAAAAATAAGTACCACGACCTCGACGCCTACCAGTGTACATTCAAAAATTTCAAGTGAACACGTGTTTAATATGAGCACTTTAAACTTTAAGCATGGATGTAATAAAAAGTCGTTTATGAAAGTGACGATTTTGCATCGTTGATCAAACAAAAATGCTTAGCTAAAAGCAACTTAAGTATTAAGAACGTTATGCATATACTCAAAAATGCAGACCTCAAACAAAAAGTTTAATTGACGTTTAAAAAAATTAAAATATTATTATTAATAATATCCGTTAGAAGAACAGATATAAAATTAAAACGAGAAAATTTTAAACTTACAAAAATTATTTAGATATTTATATATTTTGCATATGATCAAAAATTTTCTTTATATCGCTTCTACAAAATTGTTTTTTTTAAATAATCGGATTTAATTAATTTATATCAATTGTTGCTATGGTATCCAAACGAGTGTACGACAGGTGGACGCCAAAGTGAAACTATAAGGCTTTCGGGCCTGAGCCACGAAACCCTAAAAATATAAATCAAAATTAAAGTTAAAATCAAAATTGAAATTGAAATAAAATTACACAATTAGACTTCAGAATACAATATATTTCACTTATATAGAAAAAAAAACGAAAAAAGATAAATTTTGAAATTTATTTAACTTATTTGCATGAACAATATATATATATATATGTTTATTTAAATTGAAAAAAACGAAAGTATCGTTTTTTTTTTACAGAAACCATTGAAAGAGTTGAGCCGACTCTGCCTTGGTGCGAACAATACTCAAAATAACGTGGTAACCACCAGTGTTTGCACTGAAACGCGTGTTGGCTTACCTCTTCTTCAAGTATGGCCAAGCGATTCACCAAGAGGAGAAGGAGATGGTCAATCTCAGGCTTTTATATTTCCAGATATTCACGAAAACGTCAACGACAGTGGCATCGAATCCATTCAGGTATGAAAATAATATTATACAATTAATCACCTATTAATTTTAATTTATTTATAAAGAAGAATAAACGGAATAAAATTATTGAAAAAATTAAAAATTATTGACAATGGAAAGTATATTTAATTTTAATTACATTAACAAAATTAAAAAATTATAACAAATAATTGTGCAAAAAACTTTTTTTGAGATAAAGTGAAAATTGCCTTAAACGTAACTAACTTGTTATCTGGCCATAGGCAACGAAAGCAACGTTTGCCAAAAGAAGGAGAGAAATAAAATTTTCAACACTTTTCACTTCCTACTCACTAAATAGAATATTTTAAGAGAAAAAAATGCAATTTCTTTTTGTTCATGTTATATTCCATTGAGACGACTTTTCAGGCTGCATTTTTCTCTCTCTCTCTCTCTCTCTCTCTCTCTCTCTCTCTCTCTCTCTCTCTCCTTTTGAGAGGAATTAAAATTTCAACAGTACTCATTTCTATCTTGAGGCCATGTGAAAATAGACTCGTGAAAAATACAATAGTGAGAAAAAGAGAGATAAAACTACAAATATCAGCTAGCTTGGACGAATCATTTTATATTTCCATATTTATGAAAAAAATGTTCTTTAAAAAAAAAAAAAAAAAAAAAAATAGGCCTCTCCATCGCCATGTGGTATAACGTGTGTCAGTCCAGCAAACACCCCTCAGCAATCACGTCGACCAAGTCTTCTTCATCCGGATCATGCACGACTGCATTCGCATCATTCGCATCACAATCACCACAACAGTGGATCGAAAAATTCTCCAACCCCCGATAGAAATTCTATCGATGAAGATGTTCAACCTGTACCGCCAAGTCCATCCAGTTCGACTACAAGTAGTATTCGCTCGATGCCAAGTTCAGCTATGTACTCCGCTTCTATGCATTCTGCCGATAGGAGGCGTAGCAGTAGGTCTGTTTTTTCAACAAAAAAAAAAAAAAATTTTTTTTCTATACACAGTAAACTTGGTTGTATCTTTTTCTATTGCAACGTTTTGATGCACATAAGTTATATCAAAAAGAGATCGTTTTGTGTATAATTTTTAGAAATGATACACGAAACGGTCTCATTTTTTGATGCAAAAAAATTAATCAATTTATATCAATCATGGCCGAATTGAATCGACTCAAAATTAAACGAATTTTTTCAGATATTTTGGTAATAGTACAATTGCGGAGATCATTTCACTATTTAATTTGAAAATGAAAATAACAGAAAATCAAAGACAATGTGCAATTCGATAATTAAAAAGTGACAGCTTATAAACATAACCTAAAATGCATGAGAAAAAATTTGTCGATAAAATCAATATAGCCGAGCTTTTTAGAAGGTAGATGGCAGCACTCATCTATTTTCTTTCTTTAAATTTTTTCTGAATCGTTTTTATAAAAAGCAAAACTGCCATCTACCTTTTAAAAAGCTCGGCTATATTGATTTTATCGACAAATTTTTTCTCATGCATTTTAGGTTATGTTTATAAGCTGTCACTTTTTAATTATCGAATTGCACATTGTCTTTGATTTTCTGTTATTTTCATTTTCAAATTAAATAGTGAAATGGTCTCCGCAATTGTACTATTACCAAAATATCTGAAAAAAATTCGTTTAATTTTGAGTCGATTCAATTCGGCTATGATTGATATAAATTGATTAATTTTTTTGCATCAAAAAATGAGACCGTTTCGTGTTCATTTCTAAAAATGATACACAAAACGATCTCTTTTTGATATAACTTATGTGCATCAAAACGTTGCAAAGATTTGATGCAATTTTTGGTCTCAATTTGATACTTTTAGGAAAACTGTGATAAATTAACCCTCACGTGCCTGAGTTCATTTTTTGACGTACGTGCCGGGTCCGGGGGACCCAGCTGCTTAAATTCCATAAAAAACAAGATTTAATAGTAGGATATTCATTAGTTTTATTCTCAATTAAAATTTTGATATTTTTCAAATATAATTGCAAAAAATTTTTAATCTTTTGACACTCTAGGGTAAATAAATAGCCCACAAAAAGTCGCGTCGTGACATTTTTTTCGACAGGGCAAATTTGAGTGTACAGAGTACTTAGGTTTTTGGGGTCGCTGATTACAAATCAGACGTCAGTTATGGAAAATTCAAAATAGCGGATCCAATATGCCGGATGAATTTTCAAAAATTAAACATATTTGCTTGAAAATCGTTACAGAACCAATAGAGCGGACAAATTTTTAAATAATCGTTCGGATTCGCTTGAAAATCGTTACTCGGGGGTTTTCGGGGTCGCTGATTTCGGATCTAATGTTAGTTTTTCAAAATTTAAAATGTCGGATCTGATATGGCGGACAGGAAAATTAAAAATTAATACAATTTACTAATATCAGATTCATAATCAGCAACCTTGAAAATCCCTGAATAACGAGTTTCAAGCAAAACCGTCAAATTTAAAAAAATATATCCGCCATATTGGTTCCGCCATTTTGAATTTTCAAAAAGTAACATCAGATTTGTAATCAGCGACCCCTAAAACCCCCCGAGTAACGATTTTCAAGCGATACCGAACGATTTTTTTAAAATTATTCCGACATATTTGATCAGCCATTTTGAATTTTGATAAAGCGATACCGTACGATTTTTTTTAAATTCTTCCGCCATATTTGATCGGACATTTTGAATTTTGATAAACTGACACCGGACTCGTAATCAGCGATGCAGAAAACCACCGAGTAATGATTTTCAGATGAATACGTTAAGTTTTTTCAAATGTCGTCGGCCATATTGGATCCGCCATTTTGAATTTTAAAAATGGACACCGGATTCGTAATAAGAAAACGAACGATTTAAAAAAAAAAAATTCTTAAATGGAAGTAGATGAAATAGCAAATTGTCTGGGTCCGGTGGACCCAGCTCAGGCACGCAAGGGTTAAATTTATCACTCCGTGGTATTATAAAATAAATAATTTAAACTACTATTTCCGTAGTAAACTTTACTATTTCGGTAGTAATTTTTTCAATTTCCATTGAAAAAGTTGATAGAAGTGCGCAAAAGTTCCGAACAGTTTAAGTTTTACTTTTTAAATATAGTAAAAGTTACTTTATATTTTTTTTTCGCGTGTATTATAATTAAATTATTTTTAAAAATGTATTTTAGGAAAAAGTATTTCAGAAAATTTTTTAAAATAAATATTTATCAGAAATATACAATTAGAAAAACTGAATTAGTAAAAACTTTGGGTGAACGATTCTAAATTAGGAAAAAATTAAACTGATTAAAAATTGTGAACTAGATTTATCAACACAAAATTTTTTTATATTTGGTATTAAAATTATGGAACAGAAAATTGAAAAAAAAAAAATGAATGAATTCCAAATTTATTCCAAATGACATTCATATTTTAATTCCCCAAGTAATAATATATGACATGATCAAAGTAAAATATTAGTATCAATGTTGAATTATATTTATTGCGATGGAAAATGATTTTAAATGAAATGAAATTCACAGATACAGTATGTTCGATGCATTGGACCTGGAATACGCACTTTTACGCGCAGCAGCACGTGGTTCAGTTGGACCATATTCTTTGTCCGAGTCCCTGCACAAATTGACCTTCACCCAGAGTCTGGCTTTTCCAGGTTTAGCTCGTGGCCTAGCCTCGAAGCAGAGCATCCCATCCAATAGGAGACCCCAACAACACGTTGAAAGTGGAATGAACGCATTTGCTAAGGTTGTCACAGCTTTAGTATTAATGCTGGTCAGTGTTCTTGTGTTTGGTGTTGTTTACAAATTTGTAAGGACGTGAGGATTGCTGCTGGTACCTGAGCGAATTCAAAATTCCTCGTCGGATTTACAAAATTCCGATGTCCTTACTTTGGGTACCAGCGATTGATTACTAAATAATAATAATAATAATAATAAAAACTCAAAATTCATCATTTTTAAAAAATTTTTAATGTTAAATGCGTGTATTGTATGTTTGATACACTCAGAAAAAAAATGTGTTTGAAACAACCAAAAGTTGATTGTATCAACTAAAAGTTTATTTGGCTCAACCAAATTCTTTCTTTGTTTGGAATTTGTTTTAAAAGAAACATAACGTTTAGATTTAATTTATTTAAATCAAACAAATTTTGTTGGAAATAACCGTTAAATTGTATTAATTAAAAAAAAAATTGATAGATTTATTAGTTCAAACAAAACTTTTCTCTGAGTGTGCATATATTCATTTCTCTGGGTATGAATTATGTAATTTGACGTCAAAGTCAAATTTATTTTTTGATTTCACTTTGACGTCAAATTCAAATTTCAATTTGATATGAAATTCAAATTTATTTTTTATTTCACGTTGAAGTTAAATTCAAATTTATGTTTTGATTTTGATTTCAATTTAATGACATCAAATTCAAATTTATTTTTGATTTCACGTTGAAGTCAAATTCAAATTTTAACATAACTTAAGTTAGAAGGTTAAAGGTTATATTTAATTTATTGTAAAAAGATTAATTTAAAAAGTTAATATTATATATTTTTTATCGTTTAAAGATGGCTTTTACATTTAATTTAACCTTCGACCTTACATTTTCATAAAATTTGAATTTCACTGCAATGAGAAATAAAAAATAAATTTGTCAAAACTATTTTGACTTTAACATCAAAGTCAAATTAAATTAAATTAATTTCCTTTGAAAATTTTATTATTAATTTATGATTTTTTAATTAAAGTTTATAATAAATCGACGATAGGATTCAACAGTGGATATACATATAGATTTTTTTTCAGCTAGTTACAATATTTTCTTTTGATAACAATATTTTCATTTAAAAAAAAAACAATTTTCCTTTTATTTAAAAATAATTTAAAAAAATTTCTTTTGATAAAAAATAAAAAAAATTCTTTCAACTTAATAATTTTCTTTTATGTTTTCAATATGGAATTTATTTTATATTTAAAAGCATTATTCTTAACGAAATGAAGACAAAGAAATGTTTTTTAATGCAAAGAAATTTATTTTCTTTCAAAAAAATAAGATTATAATATAATCTTTTTTAAATCTTTTATAAAAAAAATAAAATTTCTTATTTTTACTCCAGGGAAATGAATAAAATGCTAAATCTTATGGAAAAATGCATAAGATTTTTGTGAATAATTTTTAAGAAGAAAATATGATCAATGTCGCAGACCAACTAAAAATCCTATTGTAACTATTTTTCAAACTCAATGTAATTCATTATTCTGATGAGAGAATTTTCATTTTATTAAAAAGTAATTAAAAATATAACGCTGTTATAATTAAAACTTGAAATCGATTCTCAAGCGTTTTCTATATCCAGAACATTTTTTTTATTTTTACCAAATATAAAATAATCTTCAAAAAAAAAAAAAAAAATACTAATTGAAAATGAAAAAAAACTCAAATATTCTTATTGAAAAAAAAACTATTTTCCATTAGATGAGAATTAATTTTGTAAGACTGAGATTAAAGTTTGTTTGGGAAATTGATCATTAAAAAAATATTGTAAAATTTCTGCCAGGCTGTGCCTTGGTCATGCAAATATTTTTCAAAATTAATTATTATTTGAAGATTCTATTTATTTTTAATTTTCAATTTCAATATAATTGAAGAAATGTTGAGAAAAAATTATTATTTCAATATTTGCATATAAACAATATAAAAAGTAATGCTTATCAAAGTATAAAACAAAAAGTTTAAATTTTTTTTAAAGCCACACTCAAAAAAAAAAAAAAAAAAAACAATGAAATTAATATTTGATAAAAATTCATAGATAATATCTTTTGTGATTATATGAAAATTGAAAAATGATTGCTGAATGAGAAAATATTCCTCTATTATTATTGTTGCAAAAAAAATTGAGTTTACATAAAGATAATGATAAGAGTTGAATTCAATTGTCCTGTCTTTTATAGTAATATCAGTATTCAATGTATTTTTTTAAATTTTATTATCGACAATTGTTTTATTCATAAAGTCTGATGTTATCTCGCGCATATATATATATATAGTTTGTAATCCACATTATATGAAACAGAACTTTTAGGTTTTTTTTCAATTTAAAAGTAAAATACCTAATATCAAACGTTCGTCAAACATTTGAATATCTATCTAAAATTAAAATACAACTATATAAGCGAAAGAAATTTGAATTCATTAAAAAAAAATTTCTATGACCTATATATATAATTATATATATATATATATATATAATAATATATATAATTATATATATATATATATATATATATATAATTATAATATATATAATTTAATAATATTAATGAAAGTGGAAAGATTAATTCGACTGTGTATTTTCCTTAGATCATAAATTAAGGAAATTGACAATCAAAATCAATAAAATTTTTAACAAATATTAAAAATTGTAATGTAATTTTAAATGTTACGATGTGCTGATGGTAAGATGTAAAAAAAATTAAATTAAAAAAATATGTAAAATGATGTAATATAATAATTCTGAATCTATTTTTCATAAAATGAATGTTACTTCTCTGATGCATTAAGTGATTTTTTTTTCTAAATATATATAATTTAACTTTGATAATATTCTTCAAATTTAGAGAAAATGTAATATGAATTTAATATTTTTTTCTTTATTGAATTTGCTTGTATACTTTATTGAATGTATAAATATATGTGATTAAAAGAAAAGTAATATATAAAATGAAATACTTGAAATACAAACAACGATACTGATAATGCGTCCGTATTTAAAGCTTTTTCAATTACTAAATTCAATAAAATCCAAAAAGTAAACCAAAATTTTTTCTTTTACAAAAACTTTTCGTTAATAAATTGATATTAAGTATAAATATGCTACAGAGAAATAAACAGAATCAAGTTCAGATTTTGAAAATGTGTATATGTGTATATAATGCATATATGTTGTCAATTTTTGTCAAATCGTAACGAATTTTTTAATAAAAATGTAATAAATTTATCATAAAACAGACGTACAACAATATCAAGATACGATAAATATTTCTTAATCTCAATTAGTAAAATTATTTATCAAAAAAAAAAAAATATATATAAACTAATTTTACTTGACAAAAAGAAAATCTTTCTACTAAATGTAGAACCTATTTCTATAAATGTAACAGCTTTTGACTTAAATTCAATTTCGCAAAAAAAAAATCTCTTGCAGTTTTGAAATATTTAAAAATCAAAATTCTTACTCTTTATTTTTTCTAAAGCGTTGATCTATATTATATATTCTATTAAAGTTAAAGAAAAAAAAGATCTCTAAGATGTAAAATATTTTTCGTCTGTTATTGTAAAATTTATTGGAGAAAAAAATTAATTATATTTCCAGTGAAAAAGAAATGTTTTTTAAATATATATATATAGGGTCAGTTAGGGTAAATGAGGACAGGGGGTAAATGGGGACAAGAGGTTTTGGAGCTTAATTTACAGTTTTAAAATTAAGTTCAACGTCAATATTTTAACTTTAGATCACCCGCAAGAGGTTTTGAGTTTTGCCAAGCTTTTATCTTGACAATTTTGCAGCAAGATAAAAAAAGTTATCGTTCAATGCATAAAAACTTGAAAATCAAAGTCAAACTGTTTCAGTATTTTGTCGAGAATTTCAATGAAAACAGACTTAAAAATCATACCAAAATTTTTTTCTTATTCCTTGTGACTCCTATAACAGAAATTCACTTGAATTTTTGATTTTTGTCAATTTGGTTAAATAATGACAAGCTGTCTCCTATTTACCCTGAGTTTTCAAATTTTTTGGGTAAATGGCTTGTCATTATTAACCAAATTGACAAAAATCAAAAGTTCAAGTGAATTTCTATTATGGAAGTCATAAGGAAGAAGAAAAAAATTTGGTATGATTTTTAAGACTGTTTTTTTTCAAATGCAAGTCAAAATACTGAAATAAAAAAAAAATAAAAAAATTTCAATTGGTTCAACTATTATTATATATCTACTACAAATTTTTTTCAAGTTTTTTCATCCCTTAATACAGTAATATACTTAAGGAAACTTTAATTTTTAAAACTTTCTTAGAAACTATGCTGTCCCCATTTACCCCAAATTTTATGAAATTTTCTAAATTTTGGGGTAAATGAGGACAGTCAGTTTCATGCGTTCAAATCTTATCTAAATGTTTTTTTTGCTGCATAAAATTAATCCTGGGAACGTAAATAACAACTTAAAAAAAATAAACCCGCAAATGTTACCTTTTAAAGGAAGAAACTTATGTAATTTGTGAAAAATAGTGATTTTGTCCCCATTTACCCCAACTGACCCTATATATTAAACAAAATGTAGACAAGAAATACATCATCTTTATAAACATTAATCTACGTAATGTCATTTTAATCAGAAAATCTATAGTGACGTGCCAGTCAAAAAAAAGGACATACTCGAATAGTAGCAAAGCTCAAAAAAAAGGAAAAAAAAAATTTACCCTTTTAATTATATTATTATGATATCAAGTAAATAACTTTTGCTATTATATCGATACCAAAAATCTTAAATTACAATAATAAAGGCAAAATTTATTTTGTCAGCTGTTTTTAAAAATAAATGTAATTAAATATTATATATTGAGAGGAAAATAAATTATTTTCATGCTAATTGCATTTTTTATCTTTCCATATGAAGTGAATTGGATTATTATTATTATTTTTATTATTATTATTATTATTATATAAGTATTTTTAGTATTTTTTGTTACCTGCGGACAGATTTAAATGTCTATTACACCAAAATTTGTCTTTTACTATACTGATACTATAATTATAATAATTTTGCCAATTCCTGCCTGACTAAAATGGTCTTTTACTACTAAAATTGTCTTGTTTACCGTTAAAAAAATTATACAAAGATTCGAAAATATTCTGTCTGATTGAAAATATTTTTTTCAACTACTGTCTTTTACTATTTTTTTTGAACTTTTTTTGAAATTATACTAATAACAAAATTACAAACATACGAAAATATTTTGCCTGGTACTGAAAATATTTTTCTAATAAAACTAATTTCCTAATAATAAGAAAATAATATTTTTTTTGCTAAGAACTTGTCTGAGTAAAATTTACTTATATACTACTAACAATAAAATTAAAAAACTGTCTGTCGATAATGGTTTTTTACTACTGAAAGCAAAATTTAAAAACAAATTTTAATTAAAAAAAAAACCCTTTATACGTGGTACCACAGAGATCTAAAAAGTTTTAAATTATATGTCTTTATATATAATATGAGTTTCAAATGAATTTGAAATGAAAGAATTTTCTATCTAACTATGTTTCGTCCTGTGATTTAAAGCAACCGTCCTTTCTCATTACACGAGTGTCAACATACCAGTGGGTAGATGTTAGATAATTAAAAGACCACAATTAGTCCTTTGTTCTTGAACAATTTGCAATTTTTCAAAAATAAAATTGATGTAAATGTTGATATTACTTTTCTTCAAAAAAAATTATACTTAATTTATAAAAAAATGTTAAAAAATTAAACTTTAAAAAAATGGCGTTTGGTGTCGAAACGTCTGTAATTTTTTTGTGATTTATTATTAATAAAATAAATCATTTTTTGATCCAGTATAATCCTGTTTTTCAACAAATTATATATACATCTGGATGAAACTAAAACTTATGAAATTTAAAAAAATGTTTTTTTGTAATATTTTTCAACAAATTTAAATTAAAATTCACTTTTAGATTAGATTTTAAGCTAAGTACTTTTTTTTTTATTAATAATATAATGACAAAAATAAAAAAATTCTGTTTGTTTCAATAAACAATTTGGCCTAAAAAAAAGAATTTATTTGAAGTGTAATTCCACGTCAAAAATATCACAATCTGCAAGTGGTTCGCCGATTTTAATGAAAATTGGTGAAACGATATCTTATTAATATAAGAGCTGTCAGTCAGTAAAAAAAAATTTCAAAATATCTAAAATTGTAGAAGTTGCACGACATTGAATTTTGTTTATTCATTTTCTTCATTCCTTTATATCTCGGTCAATTCTTAACCGATTTTGATGAATCACCCACCAATTTTTACATTAAAATTACGTATTTTCAGAAAATTATAAAGCGAAAATAAAAATTTATTATTTAAATAGAAAAAAAAGTGAAAATAAAATTTTACTTACATTTTTTTTCAATTTCCACCCTTTTTTAAATTTTTTCTTTTTTATTAATATTCCTCTTCATTTTATCTTTAATATAAAAAAAAATTACTCCTGGAAACTTTACTGATTCTTGAGATATCGTCCCTTAAGTATGAACGGACTCCATCGTAGGTTAAACAAATAATTTTAATTGCACTAAAGTGAATTTTTTGCGATCAAGATTATTATACTTTTAATGAGTATAAAGTATAATTTAATTTAAAAATTATTTATTTACTTATTGTTCAAATAATTATTGTTTAAACAATAGAATCAGTCATTTATTGTAATGTCCATGCTTGTTTTAATAATTTGCCTTCATGCAGAGTATTAATTTTCATGAATTATTCCACTAAGCATGTTAGTTCGTCTTATTAGATTAAAAAAAATTGAATATGTCAACCCCTATTTTCATCCCTTAAATCAACATCGCAGCCGCTAAAAAAAATTACGTATCGTATATTTTTTGGTACTCTTTAAGACGTATATGGTTAAAAATCAATCTGGAGGTGGCACTTTGGTAGTGTTACTTGCGAGATATAAAGGAATGAAGAAAATGCAGTATCAAAATTCAATGTCGTGTAACTCCTACAATTTTAAATATTTCGAAATTTTTTTTTTTAAGGGGAGGGATCGGTGAAATTTCAACTCATCGAAATTAATGTTGTTAAAAAGTGTCAATTTTTTTTCTGGCATATTATTTTGAATCTCAAATTATTGTGAATTGTCAAAATTAAAAAAAAAAAAACATTTTTTGACTATTTTTAAAATTTTATTTTTGGAAAATATTAAATTTTTTCAAAATCCATACGATTGATTATTCCGAATCATGAAAAAAGCCTACAAAAAAATAATAAAAATTGTAGAAGAAGTTGAATTTTTAAGGAATAATTAATCAAATTGAAGCCAAATATAATTGGTTTGGTTTAGGGGTAACAATTTTTTTTACAAATTTTTTTAAAACCTGAAATCATATTTCACTATAAAAAATGAAAAAAATGTTGTATTTTTTTTATTTTGAAAAAATTTTATTTTTTAAATAATTGAATTTTTTCAAAATCCATACGATTGATTGTTCAGAATCTTGAAAAAAGTGTATAAAAAAATCAGCAATGAAAAACAATAAAAATTGTGACAGAAGTTTAAATTTTTAGTTTTTGAAAATTTCAAGTTTTATTTTAAAAATTATTAATAAATTAATTGTTTATCAATTTCCCATAGTATATTACAGTTTTAAATACTCAATATTAGCTGGAAAAATAAATTGACAACCTGAAACAGCCTCAATTTTGAAAGGTTAAAATTTCGGCGGCCCCTCCCCTTAAGATATAATTTCACCAATTTTCATTAAAATCGGCGAACCACTTGCAGATTGTGATATTTCTGACGTGGAATCAACCTGAAACAAATAAATATACTTATGGCTATACAGTTAACCATCCTTTAGGTTGAATCAACCAAAATTTTATTTAGCTCAATCAAATTTAATTTGAATTCAACAAATTTGGTTTTAAATAACCAAAAAATTATGTTAATACAAAAAATGAAAAATGGCTTTTTCGTAATTTATTTGCACTAAAAGAATTGTTTCATAAAAAAAAATAATTGTTGCCAAAAAAAGTAATTTTAATTAAAAAAACAAAATTTTTAATTTTTACAAAAAAACAATTCAGTTTAAAATGAAGTAGAATTTACGTACTTAGAATTCAGTAGAAAAAAATAACAAAAAGTTTAAAAAAATTTGATTGAATATAGGTAAACATAAAGATGCTTTTAAAAAAATTCATTAAAAATTAACTAGTAATATTTACAGAGAAAAAAATTGCAAAGGGAAAGCAAGGTTTTTTTAAAATAAAAAATCTGTGTCAACAAAATATTATTTTCTCACATCGGTGATGCTTTTTTTATTCGTTCAACGTGACATAATTGGGGTTTTTTTTTCATTTATCATCATTTCATTAAAGTCACATCATCTTTCCCATTCGAATTCATAAATTCCTATACAGATACATATAGTGCTAGGATATCTACAGTGATATTTTTGTTCTCTTTCCTTCTCTTTACATAACAATAGACTCTCTCATTTCTTTCAAAACTATAATATCCTTTTGCCCTTCACTCTTAATTTATTGTATATATTCATATATATTTATATTTATTATTCTGATCAGTGATCCATTTAATTATGTACACGACAGTTTTTATTTCTAATTTACAAGATTTATTAATGTGCGTGAAATGTTTGTTTTGCGATGAGACAATGTGAAATTTGAGGAGGATTATTCACATATTACTATACAATTCAAAAAACTTTTTATTTTCTTTTAAACTTTTTTTTCCTTTATTTTATTTTTTGGAAAATTCATTTTTCTCGATTGTTCCGAAATTTTAGCGCTTTTGCACTTAGGCCGTTACTTTTTCAACTTTTTTCTTTCCTCCTCTAATATGTAATTTGTGTTTTGCGCGATAAATATATATAATATATATATATATATTTTTTTTATTTCTTTATATATATATTTATATATATTTATATTTTAGGGTCTGTGATAACTTTGCACTCTTTGTAAAAAAATAAATTAGCGCCTTTGTGCGCGAAGTCTTAAATAATGGTACAGTTAGATTTCACATATATTATAAGTTTCCAGCAAAAATTGGAGCTAAAAGTATTTCTAAAGCCTTTTTCTTAGCTACCTTACATTGCATCCTTTATTTTTTTTTTGGGGGGGGGGGATTTTTTTTTTTTTTTTTTTTTTGTTATACATATAGTACCTGCTAATACATATCGTTACGCTACTCGCGACGAAGTTATCACAGACGTGAAAAATGTTTCGTGGTCTTCTTCGTATGACTCTTCGCATCGAAGGTTTGTTTTGTAAAGACTCCGATATTTCTTATAACTGCGAAAGTTAGCATTCATGATACTTTTGAACCAAATTTCTTAATTTTGTTTCTAATTTATATTTTCCTTTTTATTTAAAAACCATAATCAAAAATAAATGGGATAATACACGGAAAAAAAATCTTCACCTGGAACAGCGATAAGTTTCACTAGAATAGCGAAATATTTCACTAAAACAGTAAAAGTTTTTGCTATTCTAAAGAAACATATTGCTGTTCGAGATAAACATTTTTTTCCGTGTATATTTTATTAAATGCATTTTCCTATTTTCAAATTAGAAACGAATTAGCTTTATAGAAATAAATGAATAAGTTATAAAATCTTTCAAATCAAAAAGTATTTTAACTCAATAATTTTTAAAATTAAAATTTTTTTTTATTGAGTTAAATGATTAAACAAAAAGATTTTTGGAAATAAAAAAATAAAACCTTTTTTTAATTTGCGTAACAGCATTTAGCTCAAATTACAATTTTTACGGATTAATCACAAAAAAAAAAAAAAAAAAAATAATGAAAATTGTATTCAAAATTATTTTTAAAAAAATTTCATATTTTAGAAACAAAATTTTTTTTGCAAATTTAAAAACATGTGACTGTGTTAGGTCATGTGATTCTACATGTATTTTTGTAATATAATAATGTCACGTTCGTGACTCTTTATTATAAATAAACTAGTAATATGAATTAATTTGCAGAATGTTTCCCAATTTATTATATATTTTATCTCATTTTTATATTATTTTTTTGTATGTTATTTTTGACATAACAATTTATTTTTCAAAATAAAAATAAGAATATTTATTTTTGAAATCACATGAGAAAACTATCACTAAATATCCTTAATAAGAAGTATCAAGAAGTCCCTGTTGATTAAATTTGTAAAGCTTTGTCGTTTTTTTTTTCTTTAGTTTTGAAATTTGATTTAAAACACCTTCGTTGTGCTGAGACGATCTCACGTGAACACAATTAACAACAGTAGTAGTTATATCGGTAATACTCGTATTTGTATAACAGTATTAATATAGTAATTGTGTGACAATGCTAGCTGTCCAAAGATTTAAAATTATTCTCAAAAACGTTATTCAAGATATTCTACAACTATAACGTTTGAAGAATTATGGCCAAATGCATTTGCTGATATTATCGCACAATTTTGGACAACCAGCGTACACTGATTAAATTATTCCTCCAATTTTCTCATTTTCAAAAATTTTCATCTTTCACAATTTATTTTTCAAAAAAAAAACAAAACTATTGACTAATGTAATAAAAATCTAACAAAAATATTAAAAAATTTTCATATTTAAATTATCAACAATTTTAAAAAATTAGGACATTGAATGTTATTCAAATTTTTTCTATTTCGATTTCTACTAAAAGAATTATTTATAGAAAATAAAAAGAAATTAAAGTAATTTACAATATATTAAAAATTATATGACATTTCATTCGTTAGAGATTATTTGGAAGAAGATTTTCACAGTGAAAAAGTATATATTTATATATATATATATATATTCGTAACGCTTGTAGCGATGACAAATTTATGAAGGTACATATGTATATTTAAATGATACAGAGGTAGCAAGAGTGAGACTATATATATGAATTAGATGAAAAAATGAACCATATATCTTAAGGATATTTTGGTCAACGTTCACTGGAAGTCCTTTAGATTTTATTGATAATTTCTAAAAATCTACATTCAGTGAAGCGAATGCCTCAAGGAAATTTTTTTTTTTTGTTCACAATTCACACCGAATAACTTGAATAATTTTGTTTTATTTCCCAAAAGACGAAAATGTAGAATTGATTACGTCATTTGTAAATTTTTTTTTAAAAAGAACATCGCCTGAAATTACAGGCAGAAAATAATTTGTTTAAAACAACCAAATTTTGGTTGAATCAATCAAATAAATTGTATTGCTTTAACCCTTTGAGAACCAGTGTTGCTTTCAACATTTTTTTATCTCATGCATAAGTTCCTTGATTTTTAAAATTGAATATTTAACCAATGTTTTTTAATTCGTCTAATAAATTTCCCATTCTGAAATCTGGTTTTGAGACAAAAAACTTTAATTAGTTTCGCTGGACAAAAATTGTTTAAAAATCAAAAATTGAGATTTTTTAAGAAAAAATTTGGTCCTCAAAAAGGGCTTTTGGTTGAATCAAACAAAAGTTTATTTGGCTCAATAAAATTCTTTCTTCAATTGAAAAAAATTTCTTAAAATAAACCAAACATTTATTTAGATCAAATAAATATTTAATGAATCAAAAAATTTTGTTTGATATAACAAAAAATTTTTGTTGATACAAAAAATATTTTTATATTATTCAAATGGTATATTTGGTTTAAACAAAACTTTTCTCTCATTGTACTGAAAAACCTTAATGCTGATTACATTTTTTTATCATAAATTCAAATTTTTAATTCGAATCATATATCATCAATGAATCATCATTATCTCATTATTCCTATAGAAAGAAAATTTATTTTCTATTTTCCATATTCAAATATGACAGATCAACTACAAGATTTTTATTACTTGATTATTTATACATTTATACTTAGAATCTAGAACACTTTCTCTTTCTTTTTCTCTCGTTGTCAATAAACCAATTTGGTATACAAAACCCACATAATGAAACCGTATCAGGTACATCAGCATTTATGTTTTTTGTAATATACCATTCCAATAGATTTCAGCTAAATTTTATTGATCTACAGGACATCCAGTGAATAGAATTCTTAATAAATGAATGAATTATTTTTTTTCTGTTGACTCTAGAAATTTTAGACTGCCTTGTGATAGCAGCGTTGTTAGAGACACCCGGGGGTAAAAAAGAAAAAAAGATGTACACCTCGTTTGTTGATTATTTTTAGACGATATAATATCGTCAGGCCTAAGTCGCCTGGATCGAAGTTAACTTGTTAGATTGTGCGGAGCGGTGTATATTTTAGCACACTCGACCGTTCGTCAAGAAATATTATATATAGAGGGGAGGAAGGGCGGGGAAAAAAAAAAAATTCTTGTACTCCCGCGATGTCATCAAACTCAATAGACTTTCTTCTCTTCTACTGATAAATGATTGGATGAGTTGGTTCAACTGGTAAATCACTGTCGAGCTTCAATGCCACTCCATTCTTTGTCATTAAATAATGAGTGAGCAATTCACCTTTACCCTTTACGAAAACATTACCACGTTCAACAAATCCAAAACCAAAAGGCTCTAGGATTTTTCGTGTTTCGTCCGTCACCTAAGAATATATATATTTTTTAAGTAAATTTCTTTTTTTTTTGACACGGTTTTTAAATTTTAATCTCAATAGAAAAATTTATTTCATTCAAATAATCGGTTACTTGACAATAATTAATTAATTATATTATAAAAAAAATTGTATTAAGTAAAACAAAATATATTACCTGTATGTGACCAACTTTTCCAGTGCTTTCCATTCGAGAAGCAACATTTACCGTGTTTCCCCAAATGTCGTAGTGAGGTTTTCTAGCGCCAATGACACCGGCAATTATGGGACCGTGATTGATGCCCATTTTAAGCACAAAATGATTAAAGCTTTGCTCGTTGATACTGGAAAGGGCCTTTTTCAATTCTAAAGCAAAATCGACGAGTGTCGAGAGATGTCCCCATCTGGGACCATCATTGTTTGTTGAATCTGTTATTCCCGAAGCAGCCATATAGGTCGAACCAATTGTCTTAATTTTAATGATATCCCTAAATTCATCCCTATCAAGTATCTGTAATGATAAATTTTTTTTATTTTATTTTTTTACACTTACTGTCCTAACACACTAATACCCAAGTAGCACTTAATATTATCCTAATAGCACAGGAATATTATAATGAAAAATTCGTAATGAGGCATGTCGTTATGGAGGCGCAAAAAAAGAAACGAAGTACCGGCAGTCCGAAAGAGACAAAAGCCGAAGTAAAAAAGAAAAAGAAGGAAGATTCCATTGAGGAAGGATGCCAAGGTGACGGACGCACTGAAGCCGAAGCAGTCCAACAAGACGAAGGATTCGAGAGGATCAACAGTGGTCGTCCGAGTCGCTTCAGGTAAGACGTATGCTGATGTGTTGGGACATGAGATTCTTGGGGGCAAGGCCCACTAAAAAGGGAGACCTTTTGATCAGGGTCGGAGGTGACACGGACAAGGTAGCTTTTACCGCCGAGGTGATCAAGGCTGTTGAGAGCATGGGTAATGTGCAGTCGGTAAATGGGATGGTTACACTCGAGATCCGCGACCTGGATTACCTTATCCATGAAGCAGAAGTCCAGGAAGCGCTAGAACGAGAACTCGGAAAGCCAGGAAGCAGGAAGGTGACGGTCTTAGGACCCAACAAGCGAGTGATGAAGCTCGCAGTTGTTGTCACCGACCAAGAGGAAGCTGCCAGACTGGAGGAATTGGGGCGCATAAAGATTAGCTTTATGTGCTGCCAAATAAGAAACAGAGTCATGGTCGTCCGGTGTCACCGATACCTGGGTTACGGCCATCTAGCAAGAAGCTGCAAGGAAGCAGACAGATCGGTTGCGTGCTTTAAGTGCGAGGAAGCCGATAAGTTTGCAGATTGCAAGAGCAGCCCCAGTTGCTTCTTGTGCAAACCGAAGTCCGGCGATAAGCACGTCGCTGGAAGTGGAGCATGCAGAGTCTTTAGGTCAGTCCTCAAGGAAGACAAGAAGACTCTCGCAAGAACCAAAGCTAAGTAGGCCAGTAAGATCAGCAACGGCAAGGGTCGCGATAGCGAGTTCCCAGGGGCCTTCACCTACGAAGTTTAAAGCTTGACGGGAGTTCCGTAGTGTGAGGATTAGTCCAGCCAAAGAGTGTGGTTTTTAGTGGGTCGACCAAAACAAGAACGGTCATCCCCACATAACCTTGGAGCACCGGGCTCCAGGTATCTGCCTTGGATACCAAGGGTTATGCAAATTTTCCACTTCCCTCGCAAAAAAAGTAATATTACATAAGGTAATATTAAAAGACATTTTATTTAATAAAAGAACCACGCCAGTTGGAATTGAACTCCATACCTAACAAACACCAGTCGGAAATCTAAACCAATACGACTTGTAGTAGTTTAATATTTTGTGCCAAGTATAAATAAAAATAAACACCCTATACAGTTTTATATTTTGTGAATAATTTAAATTTTCAACAAGTCAAATTGGTTCGTTGGTTAATACATCAGACTCGTGATGAGCCAAAAATTCAGAACGTTCGCCGAACAAAAAAAAAATTTTTTTTAAAAAAAAAAATTTTTATTGGAAAACCTTCAGAATGGTGAAAAACTACAATATCAATAATAAAAAATTGACATTTTTAAAAAATAGGGTAAAAACAACCCCCATTAAGAATAAATATAAAAATATTACGAATATGACGACTTTCCTGTTCGCCTTTTTTCCTAAAAATATTTTTAAAAATTCTCTTTTATTATCCCCTTCCAAAATCCATATTCGGTATAACGCGCTCGAACCCCTAAAACCACCCCTAACACATATATCCCATAGAAGGCCTCAAATTGGTCAATTTCACGACTTTCCTGTTCGCCTTTTTTCCTAAAAATATTTTTAAAAATTCTCTTTTATTATCCCCTTTCAAAATCCATATTCGGTATAACGCGCTCGAACCCCTGAAAACCACCCCTAACACATATATCGCTTGCCGGACCGTATATTGGTCGAATTCACGACTTTCCTGTTCGCCTTTTTTCCTAAAAATATTTTTAAAAATTCTCTTTTATTATCCCCTTCCAAAATCCATATTCGGTATAACGCGCTCCAAACCCCTAAAACCACCCCTAACACATATATCCCATAGAAGGCCTCAAATTGGTCAATTTCACGACTTTCCTGTTCGCCTTTTTTCCTAAAAATATTTTTAAAAATTCTCTTTTATTATCCCCTTTCAAAATCCATATTCGGTATAACGCGCTCGAACCCCTGAAAACCACCCCTAACACATATATCGCTTGCCGGACCGTATATTGGTCGAATTCACGACTTTCCTGTTCGCCTTTTTTCCTAAAAATATTTTTAAAAATTCTCTTTTATTATCCCCTTCCAAAATCCATATTCGGTATAACGCGCTCCAAACCCCTAAAACCACCCCTAACACATATATCCCATAGAAGGCCTCAAATTGGTCAATTTCACGACTTTCCTGTTCGCCTTTTTTCCTAAAAATATTTTTAAAAATTCTCTTTTATTCTCTTCTCCCTTCCAAAATCCATATTCGGTATAACGCGCTCGAACCCCTAAAACCACCCCTAACACATATATCCCATACGAAGCCTCAAATTGGTCAATTTCACGACTTTCCTGTTCGCCTTTTTTCCTAAAAATATTTTTAAAAATTCTCATTAATTATCCTCTTCCAAAATCCATATTCGGTATAACGCGCTCGAACCCCTAAAACCACCCCTAACACATATATCGCTTGCGGGACCTTATATTGGTCAATTTCACGACTTTCCTGTTCTCTTTTATTATTCCCTTCCAAAATCCATATTCGGTATAACGCGCTCGAACCCCTAAAACCACCCCTAACACATATATCGCTTGCGGGACCTTATATTGGTCAAATTTACGATTTTCCTGTTCGCCTTTTTTCCTAAAAATATTTTTAAAAATATTTTTAGGCAAAAAGGCGAACAGGAAAATCGTGAATTCGACCAATATACGGTCCGGCAAGCGATATATGTGTTAGGGGTGGTTTTAGGGGTTCGAGCGCGTTATACCGAATATGGATTTTGGAAGGGGATAATAAAAGAGAATTTTTAAAAATATTTTTAGGAGAAAAGGCGAACAGGAAAGTCGTGAATTCGACCAATATATGGTCCGGCAAGCGATATATGTGTTAGGGGTGGTTTTCAGGGGTTCGAGCGCGTTATACCGAATATGGATTTTGGAAGGGGATAATAAAAGAGAATTTTTAAAAATATTTTTAGGAGAAAAGGCGAACAGGAAAGTCGTGAATTCGACCAATATATGGTCCGGCAAGCGATATATGTGTTAGGGGTGGTTTTCAGGGGTTCGAGCGCGTTATACCGAATATGGATTTTGGAAGGGGATAATAAAAGAGAATTTTTAAAAATATTTTTAGGAAAAAAGGCGAACAGGAAAGTCGTGAAATTGACCAATATACTGTCCGGCAAGCGATATATGTGTTAGGGGTGGTTTTAGGGGTTCGAGCGCGTTATACCGAATATGGATTTTGGAAGGGGATAATAAAAGAGAATTTTTAAAAATATTTTTAGGAAAAAAGGCGAACAGGAAAGTCGTCATATTTGTAATATTTTTATATTTATTCTTAATGGGGGTTGTTTTTACCCTATTTTTTAAAAATGTCAATTTTTTATTATTGATATTGTAGTTTTTCACCATTCTGAAGGTTTTCCAATAAAAATTTTTTTTTTAAAAAAAAATTTTTTTTTTGTTCGGCGAACGTTCTGAATTTTTGGCTCATGACTCGTGTAGGAAAAGTTGAGAGTTCGATTCCCACTAGCGAGATTTTTTTCTGAAAATAAAATTTCATATATTGTAATATTACACCAATATTACGTGTAATAATACTTCAATATTACATGTAATAATTATCTTAATATTACTGTAATATTATTGTAATGTTTCATCATATTATGAAGATATTCCATAGTAATATTCTATGTAATATTACAATGTTATTAAAGTAATATTACCTGCTACTTGAGTAACTAATTATTATAATTAAATATACCAATTACATATTATAAATAAATTGTTAACGAACTATAAAATTATTAATTATATTTAAATTATTTAATTAGTCTTTAGTTATGTTACACATGCGTAACATATAAAATAAAGAAATTAATTGTATGAACTTTTATAATAATCGAAAGAAAGCAAGATTCTTTTTTAACATTTTTTCTTATTATACTAAGGGCTGATAATGTCTAATTATAAAATATGAAAAAATAAGAATTATAAAAAATGAAAAGAGAAAAGGTTGAAGGTAAAATAAAATAAGGGGATGGTATAATGAGAAGATATGTCACCTTCAGGAAATTGTGAAATTAAAAACTGACAAGCTGACTTTTTCTATTTGTGCGCAATTGATTTAACTTTTATTTTATCTGATTAAAAGATTAATCATATTTAAAACTATATTGTTTGAAAAATTGTTATAAATTATTGTATGATATACATTTAAATAATAACTAAATAAACAAAAATGAAAAATAATTTAATTTTATTATTTTAAAATTACAAAAGGACAAATATTGAATTAGTGAACATGTTTTGAATATGTTCTAATAATAAACTTGATGTTTATAATGCATGTAAAAGCAAGTCACAGTTGTGTATTCGATGTTAAAGTTTGGTTCATGTATAGTATATGGCATAGAGAAAATGGAATTGTGCAATATATAATAGTATGAAAACGTGACAGGAATTTTTAAACACAACAGAAATTTCCTAATTCAAAAAGTAAATATTTACATAAGTTTTACAAAAAAAAAACTCATCTAATGTAGCAACCAATTACCAGTATAGAACTTGGTGTTTCATTTTTTATTTGTTAAACTTTTTATTTGCTTCAATAGTATATTATTTTGATTAAAAAAATTATTTCTTTTTGTGAAAATTTCAATTAGTATAATAGCAATCAAAATTAAAAATTGTGACGTTTATAAAGAAAATTCTATGGTAATTTAAAAGATTTTTAATTTAATTTTAAACTTATTATTTATGTCATAAATAATTAACTGATAAATGTTAACAACAATTAAAAAAACTGTAATTTCATTGTACATTTATTACTGAAATAAAAATGACATATAACTATAACTGTTGGAATTATTAAAATTAAAACTTATTTGATAGCAAAAAGCGGAAATTAGAAAAGGATTAAAATATAAACCATATGTACAAAAAGTTTTACATTTAAAATAAAAGACAATTATTTGTAATTATATTAAATTTCTAATTATAAATTTCACTTTAATTTTATAATAAGAGAAAGAGACGTACACTGTAAAAAATTTTTTGGTTAAAATTCCCCAAAATTCTAGTGACGCAAATTTGCAGGGCATTTTGTGGAAAATTCCCTAAAATTTTCTGGGGAAACTTTTCCCTAAAATTTTAAGGAATATTCCACAAATATTAGTGAATTTTCCCAAAGATTAATATCAATAGTTTAAAAAATTGAAATAAAAATTTAAAAATTTGATTCATGTAGCATTTATATCTTACTTACATTATTTATTGGTACCTATTGATGAAAATTTGTATTCTTGAAAATTATCAAATATTATCATGAGGTCTCGAACGTAAGCGTCATTAGGAGAGATTTAGAAGTCTAACGCTCTACTAACTACGCCACGGAGGCTCATGGAAATAAAATGATAATTTCAATATATAAGATGAAACTATGTAAACATGCTTTGAAACTTTAAAAAAAGGAAACAAACGTTGAAAATAGTTGTGACTTATGTTATATAATAAATAAAATAAGATCTGTTAAACAAATATTGATTAAATTTTAATTTAATTCTTTAGAAATATAAATTTTTATCTACTTAAAAATACTTATTTAGTTAAGTTATAATTAACTTATCTATGAAATGAATAAATTATATTACAAGTTACAAATAACTTTTTGTAACTTAAGTAAGTTTAAAGTTTAACTTTTTTGAAGAAGGATTTCAAAAAAATTTGGGAATATTCACCACTTGTTTTTGGGGAAAAATATATTCATTGGAATTTTGAGAAATTTTCACCAACTCTTTTTAGGGAAAATATATACATTAGAATTTTAGGAAATTTTCACCTAAATTTAGGAAAATAATCACTTATTTTTTTGGGGAAAACATTTTCCCCAAAAATATGAAATATTCACCAAAAAAAGTTGGTGATAATTCCCAAAATTTTTTACAGTGTACAAAAACAATGGAATTGTAAACGGATTATTTTTTTATAAAATTTCAAACTACAATAAAATGAATGTAACATTAAATAATAAAATATAATGTAAAATTAAATGGAGAGCTAGGGGCTAGTTATAAATTTGATCCTTCCGCTTGTGTCGGGTTGATATCAAAATAAATGATTAATATATGAATTTGAAATATAATGTGAATGAAAAATTTCAAAACTCACAGCATCAAAGTCCGAGATGACCTCATTCAAGAACCTGAGACATTCAAGACCCTGATTATTGATACTTTCTTCGCTGTAGAAATCAGCAAAATTTGGCATACTGGCAAAAAGAACACCAACTTCAGCGTAACTTTGACTGTATAAATCGTCATGGTGCCTTGTGGTAGATAAGAAATAAGCGGCCACATGGGGTGGAAGAATATTATATATCAATTTTCCATTTCTTCTTTTCATATCAGCAGCACGTTCCCTTTGTGCGACAACTTCCTGTCCCCTTAGGTATAGTATTCTTCTTGCTTTTTCCGTCTGCAAAAAAAAAGAAAGGGACATTGCCTTTTCATATATAATACCCAATATCAAATTATTTTATATATTAAATGTCAATTGTTAGAGGATTTTATTTTTATGAAATCTCTCAAAAGAGCCTTTAATAAAGCGTCTTTATAGCAAGGATTATGTACAGAAATGACTCGTTAATACTTAAATCTCAATGTTAAGAACATGTTGCAAATCCCCTTTTTTTGTATATATAATATCCCTGGTGCTTCCCCTTTCCCGTGTCATGGAACTTCCAATTGCCACTTAAATTAATCTAGACACAATCTTTTTTTGCTTTTTTCAATTTAACTTCCCTCAACCCCTCTTATTTTTTTTTCTCCCTTATCCATTGACTTTATTATATTTTTAGCCTCTTTTCAGGGAATTATTTAATTTTCAATAAATATATTATCAGGACAAACACTTTTCTGTCCGATTATAATATCGATATTATTTATTTTATTTTTTTTTAAATGTCGAATTTTTAATTAAAATTTTGTAAAAAAAAAGTGTCAAATTTGCTCCACCTATTTCAGTATTTCTTTCTAACTTTAAAAATTATTTCCAATCGAAGCCATATCACGAAATTCTGTTGAACTTGATAACAGGGGGATTTTTATTGTCGCTGATTACGAATCTGAATTAAGATTTTCAAATTTATAATTGATCCGTCATATTGGTTCCGCTATTTTGAATTTTGAAAATCTAACTTCAAATTCGTAATATTACAGTCATATTAATCAGTCAAATATTTTTTAGTGATTTTTGAAATTTTAAGTAATATTACTGTAATTTTACTGTATTATTACAGTAATATTAACCGATAATATTACCATGAGGCGGACATTTTAATATGACTGTAATATTACGTGCTTCATTGGTGTTTTTTGAGGTTAGAAAGAAATCTGACGCATGTAAAAATTGTGTAGTGTTGAAATATTCGGGGCTGACAACAGTAAGAACAAGGAAAGCTTCGAAAAATCACGTGATCAGTGTGGCTCTTTCTTTAGTGCGGAACATGAATAAATTTTTTGAAGTCAAAATCTCAATAAATTAATTTTGTAAATTATTCATAAATAATGAAGAAATAATGTTTTTCTAGTTTTGTTAAAATATTTGCTGAAAAAATAAATTGCCAACGTATTTCGAATTTGAAAACTATATTAGCTTTTAATGAATTCAGACATCGTGGTTTTATAATGAAATTATAATAAACAACTTGAATGTAAAGGAAATTAATAACATTTTAAAAAAATTAATATGCAAACTATTTTTTAAATTTTTAATAAAAATTTCTTCCTTTATTTAATTTTGAATTTGTAAAGTAATTAGTTGAATTTCAGATATATAGAAAAATAAAAATTGTTCATTATTCCATATGTATAAAGCTGAAAATGATATTAAGTGGAAATCCTCTACTTGCGCAATTAACTCATAAAGAGAATGAATCTTAATTGGTACATAATTAATGAGTAATTAAGGTGTACTAACGTATCTTGCAACTACCACCAATGCAAGAGCAATGGTAAGTAGAGTAACAGAGAGAGAATATTTTAGTGGAAAAGCCACTGCTCCTGGTGTAGTGGAAGAACCATCCTCTCGGTCTAAATTAGGTCCCAAGAGTATGTTCATTCCACATTGTGCTCCGGCCAGCATGAACATCAACATGGATTTTCCAAGGTAACTTATGTATACAGGCATGGATATAACTATTAAGGCAAGAACGCCAATGTAGGAGTAATATGAAGGATATGGACATTTCAATGGCCCCTTTGATGATCCATTTGATGTCAACTCCACCTCCTCAATTGTGGCGCAGTTTGCCTGAAACACACATATAACAATTATTAGAGTTCATTTTCTCGAAAAATCGTAACAATATATATTTTACGAAAAGTGTTTTTCATATAATAATAATTATGTATTGTGAAAAAATATCTTTTGAAAACATATGGGTTACAATTTTTTTTAACCCTTTTATACAATAATTATGATTCTTCAAAAAAACTAATGTTCACATTTTTGCTATTGTATCACTTGAGAAATTTTGCCCTATATATATATATATATATATATAAACAAATGCATAAAATTATAACATTTGTAGAGACAAAGTCAATATAATAATTGATCGGACTAAAAATACTGGTTTAACATAATTAACATTGGATTAAGAAATTATCCTCTATTCGAGTTTAATCGGATTGACCCAATGAACTATTTTCCCTGAGAAAGTAATCCACTGAAGCAAAAGTATGTTTTCAGTAGAATATTATAATAATGTGGCGAAAGTTTAAATTATAATTGTCATTATATAGTAATACGAATATAATTTTAATTAAAGTTTTTCTCAAGTTTTGCGATTATCATAAAAAACTAATTTTCAATTTAGGAAAATACAAAAAAAATTTATACTAGAAAATATTTTTTTTACAATAATTTCTAATTTATCAAAATTTCACAATTTATTTAAAAAATTCTAAAAGAAAATTAAAAAAGAAATTAAAAAGAAAATGAAAAGAAAATAAAAAATTTGTTGTAATAAATTCTTTTTAGAAATTAAACTTAATTAAAGGTGCATGATCTTTGATTATAAGTGGTTGTTTCTTAAGAAGTTCTCTTTTCTTTATATATGACAATAGTCTAGCATCCCTCTTTTTATTGTTTTGAAAGAAGAGAGCTTGATGAGTAATGGTTTATATAGAAAGAGATAGATTGTCATCAAGTATATATAAGACGCTTCAGTCTAGTTCACGAGTCCTTGAGAAAATTCCCTTCATGTGCTTATAGTAAGGAACATCGAGATAAGTTATTTTCATCCTATTTACAGGTGCATATATAATTTAATCTCACCAGACAGCATCACATGAAAAGATGCTCCAAAGGGAATCATGATAACATCTTCTCTTCTTACTTCTTTTGTTGTTTACAAGTTCCCTTAATTTTCACAATATTAAAGCTTTAAATTCATTTTACAAAATTCTCTTTCATTTTAAATATTGGATAATTGGAAAAAAATGTACAATTTTTCAAAATTTAAACTATAATTTTCTTTCTTTTTGGAATATAATTGTAAAATATTTTATTAACTTTAAATTTTATTATTTTCTGTAAAACTTTGAATTTGAGGGAATATTAATGTATTTTGGATGGAGTTTGCACTATTTCTTCACTTTTAAAGGAAGTTAGAGGAAAATGGAACATGAGGACATGAATGTTAATAAGAAATTTGTACTTACCATGTCGAGGAGCACGAATATGGCGAGGGAAAATATCATAAGGAGAGCCAAAATCCTTCGAAGCCATCTCGCTCTCACGGCGCTTCCAAGGCAAGTTGCACCTGCCAAGACAATTCCATAGAGCGTGACTACTGCCACACCTCCATATGTGAATCGACTTGAATATTGAAATTTCCATACTGGAGCTGAACATATTAACACTAAAGGTCCTCCCAACACCGAAAGTGGTGAAAATGCCTCTTCTGCACTATGAAATCCTTTCTCCAATTGTTGATCCTTGAAATGTAGAGTTAACCACGAAGCATGACCTTTCAACTCCGTACCTCCAACTAACAAACATTAATTACATTAAAAAAGAAATTCTATATTTCTGAATTACAACAATTTTCGAATTAAAAATTATCCAATTTACAATTAAATGTAAATTTTGTCATCTCTTACATTTAGAAGTTTTTAGGGTCGCTAATGATTATATGAATCCGATGTTAATTTTTCAAAATTCAAAATGGCGGATTTTTTTTTAATTTCATCAGATTCGTTACTCAGAGATTTTCAGTGTCGCTGATTACAAATCTAATATTAAATTTTGTACTTATTGTTAGTGATCCCAAAAACCCCCTAGCAACGAGTTTCAACTGAAACGTGTCAATTTAAAAAAAATTTTTTATAGCTATATTGAATTCGACATATTGAGTTTTGAAAAACTAACATAGAATTCGTAATCAGTTACCGAAAAAACCCCTTAGTAATCAGTTTCAAGTAAATTCAATGAATTTAAAAAATTTGTCCGACATATTGAATCCGCCATTTAGAATTTTGAAAAACCTAACCCAAAAACCAGCGAGTATTTATTTCAACTATCTTAATTTTATAGTTTACTATTTTGTTGCAAATCTTATTTTCATTCATAACTGTATAAATGTTTCTTGCGCAAGTATTATAAATTTGTGATAACTTCTATTTATTAGAATACAAAAATATTCCAATTTTTGACAAAGTTATGAATTTTTAAATGATGGTTTCGATTGAAACCACACTATAGGCGTTCAAGAGTAAACAGAATTGTATAAAGGAGATTTTATAATGAACCGAATTTTCATATCAAAGAATTTTTGTTTAATTAAATTCTAATTTATTAAAATTTTCATATTTAACTAAACTTTATCAGAATTATTCTTTTATCGAATTTCTATTTATCCAAATATCCACATATAACACAGTATTTTCATTATTAATGAAAATTAACGAAATTAACAGAATTTCTATATATATATATATATATATATATACAAAATTCTTATTTAACAAAACTTTTATTAACCCTTTAATGTTTTATTACATATGTTTACAAATATTGTAAAAAAAATAAGTAACAAAAAATTTCCACAAGGGTAAAAAGAAATATCAAAAACTACCCAATAAAACCAAAATTTTTAAAATTGATCAGATTTGCCTGAAATTTCTTACTTGAGGGTTTTTGGGGTCGCTGATTACGAATCCGGTGTCAGTTTTTCAAAATTAAAAATGGCGGATCCAATATGGCGGACGAATTTTTTAAAACTCATCGAATTCACTTAATACTCGTTACTCGGGGGTTTTTGGGGTTGCTGATTACGAATCGGGTGTCAGTTTTTCAAAATTCAAAATGGCGGATCCAATATGACGGCCAAATGCCGATTTTTTGTTTGTTTTCAAGATATTAAATGTCAAATATCTTATGTCGGCGCGCGCGACGAGGCGGTCGACTCATACCGCGCCGCGGTGCACAGAAAAAAGCTGGTGTTATTTTTGTTGCGGGTAATTTTCTTCAATGCTAAAACCCATAAGATTTAACCAAGATTTAGGGTAAAATTTGTTGCGTGTTATTTTAACACCAATTCTGCTGTTAAAATAACACTTTGTTTTTCCTGTGTAGCTGCGTTTACACTAATTTAAAATTTAGAAAGTATTAAATTAAAATGTAGTTAATTAAAAAATTTTCTATTTGATAATTAGGATCATTATAAAATCAACTTTATAAAATTCTGATAAATAAAAATTCGATAATTTTTAATTCGATATCACAAAAAATTCCAACAATTTCTAATGTAGAAAATATTCATGCGTCCTAATAATACCCCAAGAAAAATTTGGATATTATTTTCCTTTACTAAGAAAAAAAAATTTATTTTTTTCCCACTAATTTCAAAATAAAGACAAAAGAATAATTTGTCTCACCTTGTAATGAAAAAAATATATGTATTTTTTTTTTTTTGAAAAAGTGGTTTTATAATAATGAGAGCAAGCTTATAATATATTCTTGGAGAAATGGAAATGTAGGTTGAATAATGAGAGGGATTTTTTTGTTTTGTTTTTAGATTTTTTTGTGTTATTTATATATATATATATATATATGAAACATACTTCTGCTGTCAAGTTCCAAGCGAAGTCGTAGTCTAAAATCTTCAGAATCCTCTTTGTTTCTACCATCAGTGTCAGAGACGACATTATGTGAATATTCAGCATCGGCCAGCGATGCGAGACTTTTGGTCAAAGCTGGCTTGAATTGCTTAAGGGCTCTGACTATAAAGTACGTGACGAGGCCAGCTTTTTGAAGTGCCTCCTCGCGAGTCTCACCGAAAGCTCGTTCCACCTCAAATTCATCGTTTAGGAAGCTCAGAGTAGCGTTGGATATATGTACCCTTCTGCAATGAAATGAAATTAAAAAAAAAAAATTTTTTTTGAGTTGAAAAAAGTTGGAATATTATGTATATTTCTTTAGTAATTTTTCCCGTAAAATCAAATGGCGTCATCTATTTTTTTTGTAATTTTCGATTTTTTTTCCATTTGTTTATAAAAATTTATTTAAACAAATTAATTTTTTAATAGTTTTTAACGTTAAAATTCAGTATTTGTTCCACAGTCCTGTATTTGTTTCCACTTACCTAAACATGGACGTTAATAATTTAAAAGAAAATTGATCAGTAGAAAAAAAATTTTTACAATAATATTGATTTCCCAAATATTAAAAACCACAAATACAAATATTATAGATAATAATTAATTATAAAAATATTTTTTAAAGAATTTGTTTATTATAATTTGGAAAAATAATTATTTATAGAGATTTTATTTTCCGCAATTATAAAATATGTCTCTTTTTGATAACGATATATCTATCTCGTTGAACTTTTTTATTGATTGATTTTCTTATCACGAGTACACTTATACCTTAAATATATATTAAATTTTTGGCGACGAAATACAAAAAATAATCAGAAAATAAATTTAATTGGAAATGATATTGATTAAATGACAAATCAAATTATACTTGTAATATTATATTGTTTAAACAACTATAAATAAATGGCAAAGGTAAATCTTGTGAAGTGTAATCACTTGTTTCTGAAGCTTCATTAATCCGCTATCAAACACAGAAGTTATAATCTTGAATCATTAAAAGAGACCCCGTATATAACACAAGTCTAATTTCATTTCAATTTATTAATGGACATTCTAAAAATAGAGTTTCATTTAAATAACCAGAAAACAGGAGTTTTCATTTGCGTTATTGAACCAGTATATATAAAGAACAAAAATAAAAATCAGATTTTTTTCAATTAAATTTTTTATGATTAAATTGAGAAATTATTCAATGAACACCATTTAGATTTTAGTATAAAAAACTGTTTTTAACTCATCTATATAGGTTTAGAGATTTAAAAAAAAAATCAAATTAAATAAAGAAATTGAAAAAAAAGATGTGATTAGTGCAAAAATAATCTTTCCGAATATCGCTTATAGTAATAAAACCGATACTGAATATCAGTGTGTGAGATTGAAACCTAAATTAAATGAAAGTCAATATAAAGGTAAAGTGCAATCTATGTAATGTGTTCCATATCTATATATCAAACTTTTACAACAGTTTTATTCGCATAATATTCTTTTTATTTGCACTATATAACGACACGCACTATCGATTTCCCTGTTGAAGAGATAATAAATTTCACGTCATTTATATATATATATATATAAAATGAATTTGACACATATATATATAAAAAATATCAATAAATGGAATCCTCTTGTAATTCAATTACATTGTATTTTCATTATTTCAAAATTATTATCATATGTGAATTTTATTTCCTATATTTATTTCTATTATTTTATTACATTTTAAAATAAATAAATAATTCATTAAATTATAAATTAAAAAAAATGTAGATTTAAAGAAAAGAAAAATTGCAAACATTTATTTTGCTATTAAGTAGAAAAATATATGCTTAGTAAGACAAAATTGACCCTCTATAATTTAACATATAGAAAAAAAAAATTTATCTCAAAGCTAAATAAATATTTTGTTTGTTGAAATATAAGTTTTATTTTATTATTTTAGATTGACCCTTTACATTCAGAGAAAAAGTATATATTTATCTCAGAGATAAATAAATATTTATTTAGTTCAAATAGAAATTTTATTTGCGTCAAAAAAAATTTTGTATTTGAAACAAATAGTCTAAATTATGTAAAATGAGCATATTTTTTCTATTAATAAAGATCAGTTTTTTTTATTTTAAATGAAAAATGACAAATTTTTTTTTTTTTAGATTTCAAGTAAAAAAAAGATATGATTTGCCTGATTTTAAAAAGAGAAAATTAACAAAGACAAATAATATTTTTTGAAACGAGTATATATAAATATTTTATTAATAAATATATTTATATCTCTTAATTTAAGTAGAAAAATAAATATTCAGTCAGGCAGAATTGACCCTCCAATAAATAGAAATAGTTCATATCTGTCAAGCAAAACTTTTTTTGTCAAACAATTTAATCTAATATTATTCTTATATATACCAAAAAAAAATGTTCTCATTAAAAGAAGATTCGTCTTCTTTTGAAGCAACTTTTTATCTTATATACTATATACATATAGGCACTAGATTATTCCTAATTTCTCTAATCAATAAAAGAAGAATGATTAAATTTATCTTTTAATCAGAATATTCGCAAATCAAGAAAAAAAATCGTCTTTTTTATAGGATGAATATTCATAAATTGAAAATAAAATGTAAAATTATAAACCGAATATTCTTTTCATTTTAAAACTTTATTATTTTCAGTGTAATTTAAAGAGATGACATTGCTGCATTTTAAGTAGAAAAAATTGGATCTAGTCAGACGGAATTTATATCTTAAAAGTAATATATAGAAAATATTAATATTAGTTGATAGAAAACTTTTCTGAATTGATTTTATCAAATATTACGCACAGGTTAAAAAAAATATAAATTTTTTTGTACTTTCAAGTATAGGGTAACTGCACCAGTGGTGGATCATGCACCAGTGGTGGATCAACTGCGAGAAAAATGGTCATTTGTGTTTACACGTTTGTAAGTAAATGAACCGCAAGTGTCGGTAATTGTTAAGAAAGTTATACAGATCAATATTACAATTTAAAAAAATTTTTAAATTCATCGCGAAGAAAGCAGGACAACAATTACTAAAGTGGTGACAGAAAACAAGAGTTTTCCTTAGCATGTAAGTTAAGAGTATATTTTGGAATAGAAAGCTTTGGAGTCATTTTAGGACAATTTTTAATTCTTTTCACAATAGGAGGCATTTCGTTTCATCCCCATAGAGCCCTGAGAACAATATTTACGTCTGTAAGTAGCGCGTGTCCATTGTTTTGGGGTGATCCACGACTGGAACCAAAAAAGTAACAAAATCTAGTGGTGGATCAGTCCTACTTTTCGCCTGTTGACGCATTGTTTTATTGAAAATTTTATGAGTTAAATTTTAGTTAACACTAATTCAAAAGTTTATTAATTGTTTACACCTGGGGGTCGATTACGTAACTTTCCCACTTCCCACATCCCACATCTCACTTCCCACATTTTACATCCCAAATCCCACATCTCACTTCCTACATTTTACATCCCACTTCCCACATTTTACATCCCACATCCCACTTCCCACATCCCATATTTCACATCTCACTTCTCACTTCCCATATTTCATATCCCACTTCCCATATTTCACATCTCACTTCTTACTTCCCATATTTCATATCCACTTCCCACTTCCCATATTTCACATCTCACTTCTTACTTCCCATATTTCATATCCACTTCCCACTTCCCATATTTCACATACCACATCCCACTTCCCACATCCCACTTCCCATATTTCACATTCCACATCTCACTTCCCACATTTTACATCCCAAATCCCACATCTCACTTCCTACATTTTACATCTCACATTGTACATTGCACTTTTCTTATCACGCTTCCCACCTTTTATATCCCACTTCTCACATCTCTCCCATTTCCCACAAGATGTTGGATGTGGGAAGTGGTATGTAAAATGTGGGAAGTGAGAAGTGGGATGTAAAATGTGGGAAGTGAGATGTGGGAAATGGGATGTGGGAATTGAGAAGTGGGATGTAAAATGTAGGAAGTGAGATGTGGGATGTGGGATGTAAAATGTGGGAAGTGGGAAAGTTACGTAATCGACCCCCTGATTTCAAATTGTTAAATTTTTGTTGAATTAAAATACCCAGAATTAATAAATGTTATTTATCATTGAAACTGAAGCTTTAAGAGTTTCTATTTATTTATTACCAAAAATTCTAATAAAAAGATGATTAATTAATATTTAGTCACATTATACCTATAGAAATGAAAGAGGAGGGGATATGGATAGGAAAGTGAATTTGAAAATCTGTCCGTAAAGCCTTATAAAAGTTGCAAAACGTCTCAGTCTCGTAATTTTAAAATGCAATGTTTTTTAGTATGATTTTTTAAGTAATCCACCACTGGAGCAATCTATAACCATGCCTGGTGCAAACAGTGATCCAGAATAGGATCATTGACAAATTATCTTTGATGGAGCATTAAAGTAAACGTAGTTGTCAAAATCAAGTCCAACCTTGAAGGAAATGTCTATTGGAACTATCTGGTCCATAATACTATGAAGAATAACCTCGAATTTGTCTAAAAGCAACCTATACAGAACTTCAAAGTCAAAATAAGAAAGTTAAGGGGCTTAACTGATCCACCACTGGTGCAGTTACCCTAGATAAAGACTGTTTTAGTCAGAAAAAATTCAATTTGTCATTAGGCAGAAAATTATAATTAACCAGACAAATGATTGTGTTCCATATATAGAAATTCATGGAATATTTTGCTCTTTTTAGAAATACTAGTTTTCTATTCTATTAAGTAGAAAGAGACTGTTATAGTCAGACACAATTGAATTTTTAAGTAAAGAAACTTAATGCGTCAGAGAAAAACTTTTTCTCTTAAAAATTAAAAATTATATTATTTATTTGTTTAGAAAGATTGGTTTTTTTTCCACTTTAAGTAGTAAATGATAGATATGGCCAGACAGAAGTTATTAAGTACAAATAAAAGTCAAAACTCTTTTGTTAAAAATAATTTTCTATTTAATTATTGTACTTTTGTAACAAGAATTGAGTTTTCTTCACTTTTAAGGAGAAAAATAGTGTTTTGGTCAGAAAAAATTAATTTTTTCATATTGAAGAAAATTTTAATTAGCCGGACATAATATTTTTTTTCTGAGTTTATCAAATATTATGCCTTAATTTTTTTTTTTTTTTACAATTTACGAATTTTATTATTAAATTATTAAATAGTCTACAATAAAAAAGAACCTTAATTATTGAAAAAGTTAAAAAAATTACCTATAGAATTTTTTTTTTTCACATAAACCGAATTAGAGGACTTCATTAAATAAAGTAGTCAATCTCATTGTTGGCGCTAATATTCAAATACGATGGACAAATATAAATTGGCATATAGCCAAAATTGTCGACCTATGTATTATAATGCTATTTGGCGAGGTTATTCGAAAGGAATTATACCGTTCACGAGGAAGCTATTCACACTGTAGAAATATCGTTTAACAGTAACTTAGCAAGTCTTTTATAGCTTAAAAGTAACAACCGTGAGATACTTGTATACATGAATATAGAAAAAAAAATTGTAGAATATTTAAAAATTTCTAAATATATATAATATATACTTATAATCTATATATATTTAAACGGATTTTGCCTTATCTCTACTTCCTCTTATACAGTCTCTCTCCCCTTGTATCAAACCCAACAAACACGTAACCACCCTTTTTCTATATATATATATATATATATGTTTATCCTACCGCAAGGACTCGACTAAATTGACTTAAAGGGAAACTCCCAAGAGGTTCTCACAGTCTCAACCCTACTCTCACTGGTTCTTACAACTTGAGAGTTAAAGTTTTGGTCTTTGCGGTTATATAGAAGAAACTTTTATTAAACGTAAATTTGATGCTTAGATTAGAGAATTGGAAAGTTTCTGATTGGACGATGAAACTGCTTTTCTTATCGTTTCTTTACCTCATAATAATAAGAAAAGTATATTTAATCAGAATTTTTTAATGAAATTCCCCTTTGTGTATTATCAATCAAAAGAAATTGCATTATTATTTATTTAGAAATTCATTAAACTAAAGATACTGTATTTATGAAAAATTTAATGTCCTAATTTATATTAATAAATAAGCATTAACAATTAGAATCCTAAGTTTATAAAGATATAAAATTGATACTAAATCATAAACTAACTTTATTAGTTTTATTCTTTATTTAAAGTAACGATTAATATTTAAATTTATTTTTCATACCTGAGTATTTATTTTTATGGTTGAAATATTTTGAAGAATTCAATTTTTATTTTATTGTTTCTTTATATCCAAATTAGTTTTTAAAAAACACGTTTAACAATTGTAAGACAAACAGTAAATATAAGTATCAACAACTTGTTAAATGTCATCTGATATTAAAGTTGGATAATTGAATTTGAAACAAAAAAAAAAGGAAGTCAAGAGAATCTCGCAAAACTTGATTAATTCTGTAATGAATGTAAATCAGGAAAGAACTTTTCAAAGTTTTCAATCCACTTTCAATCGAGTTTATTTTTTCAATTACATTGGAACTTGTTAATTAACTAATTTAAGCTCCATACATACGTAATTGTTAAACTTCAATGAACAATATATACTAGTAAAATAAGCAAATTACATCAAAAGAAAATTCAATTTATTCTTGAGTTTCATTAGAAAAATAATTGAATATTTATTCTTTATTTTTACTGCAAGAATTGATGAAATTTTATTATTAGATTATAGTATTAAAAGTATTTTCAATTAAGTATTTTTCTTTTTTTCAAAAAAAAAAAAAAAAAAAATTCATTGTTTGGAAAAAAAATCATAAAACGCATATGGGCAATTCCACGTCAAATTTACAATCAAATTTTTAATTCGGCCAAAAACATTTTTTTAAAGATACATGTGATTGAAAATAAGTCTACTTTTGAAAATCTAAAATTTCAAAAATTCATAGCGAGAAAATTTGGCCATAAAAAAAAAAAAATACGTATCCTTTTTTTTCAATAAGGAATGAAGAAAAAATGTTTTTGGCCGAATTAAAAATTTGATTGTAAATTTGACGTGGAATCGCCCATATATATAGGTACTTTCCCAAAAACATTCCGTGGACGATATTGCAAAAACTTTTTCCCTCAACTTTCCTCTCATCATGAACCCTAATAACTTATTTCTTTTTTTGCAAATATCAAAAGTAATAAAAAGTTTACTAAAAAGAAAGAAAGTTTAAATAAAAAATAATTGAATGATATTGCATTATATTTTATATTAAATCATAGTTTTGGAGAAAATTATTTTTTATATTAGGTAATTTTACTTCATTACTTATTTTAAAACTTTTTCTTCCCATTAAAATTTATATACAAATTTTATATGTACAGAGTGATTATTATTAAACATAATTTTCTTTCTAAACAATTTTCTATTAATTATTTATTTTCAATTTTTTCTGAAAAATATTTCCGTGTACAAACAAGAGTTATTATTTTGTCAAACACCATACAATCTATATTTTTTTCAATTCAATTCCTAAATTATCCTCTATATTTATTTTTGTTTCCGATATGAAATTCAATTCAGAGTTTGATCCTTAATTATTACTTATATATACGATGGCACCCACACTTTTTTTTCCTCCTATATATTATAACATTTCTGAAAGCGAACAACTTTTTTCTCTCATCTGACATAGTTGTTTCACTCAAGTTTCACACTGACACACATATATATATATATATATTTATCCTAATACATTTAAGGAAAAACGATAACAAAGCATAGAATCATTGAGGGAAACAAAATTGTAAACAAAAACTTTAAAAATATTTCAAATCTAATGAAACAAATTTTTTCAAAATAATTGTAAAAAAAAATTTCATTATAACAATAATTTGGAAAATTATTAGATTAATAAGAATTCATATAATGTATTTTTTATTGATCCTTTGATGAGAAATATATTTTTATTTTTCTATAGGTAATAATGTGACGCTGGAAGGGACCTTAGTTGAAAAAATTTTTAGGTTATGTTTAATGATATTTTAATCTTAATTATAAATGTTTATTTTTATAATTATTTATGTAAAATCAAAATCAATTTTTATTCAACATTTTGAATCTAAGCAAGACTTAAAAATCAGTGGTTTATAGCATTTGTATTTTCACTCTAAAAATCACAAACATAACCTAACATTTTTTACAGCTATAAGGTCCCTTTTACCGTGATGCATCACATATATTCAAGATTGTTAAAAAAAATTCTTATTTGCATTTTATTGGTTAGTTTAGACAATATAAATTCATTGATGAAGGTTCACATTGTAACCGAGAAGTTTGAAATAATAATGCATTAATTATTATTGGATTCTAAAATTAAGTCCACTCTACAATTCCGGATTGTCAATATAGAATCAGCAGTTCTATTTGTTGTTGGGACAAAAAAAATTGTTAAAATGGGATTGTTCGGTGAACAAACAGAATTGTTTGATGAACAAAGAAAATTGTTATGGAACAGTTGAAATAACAAAACTAAATTGTTAAATCGGCAATACAATTTTTTTTATTAACAAAGCTTTGATCCGTCTAATACAATTTGTTCAGTTTCTTCGCCTTCTGAAATAATCGATAGCAGATTTCCGTAGGTCATATCACCAGTTTCATTTGCATTAAAATCTGTGGAACATGCAGCTTCTGAATCAAATTCTTTGACCTCAAACCAAAAAATTATTTTGAGTTGAAATTTGTTGTTAAATAATATTTAATATACATTTTGTATTTTTTAAGGTAAGGTTATGTTCAATAGTAACCGAGTATAACTTACCGATAAACGATGAAATTGTCTCTTCATCCACACCCAGAGAAAAAATTTATTAGTTTTGAATAAAAACGCATATTTAAATCATTTTTATTTATTTCAAATAAATATTTTATTTAAATTAAATAAATAAATGTTTATTTGAAATTGTCGTATATGTTTCTTACAAATAAACAATTTTATTAGTACTTTTTAAAAAGGTACATTTGTGGCAAATAAATAATATATTTAATTCAAATAAAAGTTTATTCGAGTTCAACGCAAGCATGCGCAGAATACTGTATACGATATAACTTTAAAGATGTCGAACGTAGTGAAAACGAGGTGACAGATTAACGCGACCAAGCATTTGTTTGTACAAGGATTGATTATCATTTGATTAAAACAAATACTAATTTCAGGATAATTAAAGAAATGTTTTTATTCGCGAGTGTTTATTAATTAAATCACACTTTCCTTTTATTTTGAGTGCCTTTCTCCCTGTTGTGTCTCAAATGTGAAGCAGAATTCAAATCAACTTATCATTGACACAGAGAAATGGAAATTGTTATGTTTCAACAATATCCACGGAACATACAAAAAAATAACCACGAAATGTAAAAATTTAAGATTTTCAATTTGAATCATAAATTTTAATTATATCAATTCCAGAATATTTGGCTGAATACCAGGCAATTTTGCAATTAAATATATTACATTCAAAACTTTTTATTTATTTGTTCTAAATATAAAATATATTTGTAGCAAATAAAAATTTATTTGTCTCAAATTTAAATATAAAAATTTATTTGAGACAAAGAAAACTTTAGTAGACTCTGAGACAAATATCCATTTTTATTTAAGTCAAATATATTTTATTTAATTCAAATAAAACATTTCTCTGTGTGCATACACTACACTTGCAATAGATTTCTCACTTTAACCGGATTCATTATTTAACAGCACTTTGTCATTTAAAAAAAACTAATAAGAAAAAGCAAAAGTAGCATATGTGCCAGAAGCAAACGACGCGACGATCTGCACGCCAATTTGCGAGAATTCAAGATGACCACGTGACATAGAACAATAAAGCTGTCGGCTGAACAAATCCGGATTGTTCCATCAGTAATCGACAGAGAGTTTGCTTCTGCAACTGTACGGAATTGCAAACTGAACAAAACTGACAATAAAAAATTCGTATTGTTGTTAAAACAACATAAATTTGTATTAACAACAATCCGAATTGTAATATTAACATTTTGAATTTTAACATCAACAAATCTACTGACAGCAATCCAAAAATTGTTTGCACAACAATCTCATTTTTCTCCGTGATATGAATACATTGTAGAAATTTTATATTGTATTAAAGAGCATTGTTAGTAAATTACAAATAAATAAATATTTTGAAAATTTGAAAAAATCAGAAAAAAAAATTCTTACCCAGCCATTCCGCTGCTCTCCATTTTATTGGCAAGTTCAACGTCTTTGCTGTAAACATCAAATTGCCATTGTCGTTGACCAAGAACGCCAGCAAGTACAGCTCCAGTGTGAATTCCCACTCTCATATCGACAGGACTTTTGGTTTTTTGTTGAACATATTTTATTGCATCCACCATGGAAAGTCCCATGTGAACACAAAGGACGGCATGATCAGGTCTCTCAATAGGTGCTCCACTTATACAATAGTAGCAATCACCCAAAATTTTTATACGCAGCTGCTCATACCTTTGGAGAGGGAAAAAAAACAAAAAATTTACTTCACAAACTTTGTCCTCTGAATATATGGAATATTTAAATATTTTCTGAACTCTCTCTCTCTCTCTCTCTCTCGTATAACGTGTTCTAATCGATCATATATTATACCACTGGAATTTCATGCATTTCCCGAATTTTAGTAGATTTTTTTTATGATTAGCACATTCCGGCAAAAATTCATCTCTGGTTAGCTCTTTCATTTTCCAATTTACTTTCGATATAATAATTGGACAGAGATAAAGTAGATGTTTTTTTTTATGTTGATAGATTTCCTGCAGGACATTATTTTTAGTAACCTTTTTTGTTTGACAATTTTTTTTATAACGCGAAAATTTATTATCAGTTTAAATGTTTTTTTTATCTCAATGTCAGTTTGTTTAAAAAAAATAGTTTTGAAAATATTACTGTACTGGAAAAAATTTCAATCACAGCATGTAATTGATAGGTCCAAAATTTTCATTTTGTCAACAAGTTTACTTTTAGAATTCTGTCAAATGAATGTTTAGATATATAAAAAATCTCTAAAATAAAAAATTATTTGGTTAAATAAATGGAACAAATGTTTAAATACCCTCAACCAGGGTAAGTTTGGGATCAATAAAATTTTTTTTAATACTTCATTTTTAATACCAGATAGCATGTAAGCTTGCCGCGCAATATTCACTGAAAAAAATTTGCTTCCCATTAATGACTATTAACCATAGTAACTTTAAATCTAGTCAGCGTAACCGAGCATCCTAGTCAATTCATAGTTATATAGCTTGGTTAATATTGTCAAAGTCGATTTAGTAGAATTGACCCCTTGTTTCCTAGTTATATTAACTAAGATGTTTGGTTAATATCGCATGTATCTATAGTCAATTTTGCTAAAGTTTAATTAGTCAAAGTGATTCTAGCCAATGTAACTAAGATACCTGGTTATTCTGATAAGCTTCCCTAGTCATTCCCACTAATTGTCGAAATCAACTTTGACCAAGATTGCCTAGTGGGTTCCTCTCGTAACTAGGCAAATTAGTCAATTCCTGGCATACGGGGGTTAGGAATTTTTTTCAGTGTTGCTTGGGTCAGGTGAGACATATTTGAAGCTTGCAGTAACCCACACAGCACAATATATTGCTGTAAGCCTACCTCAACCTTACATGTAATTTTTATAAGCTAACCCTGTAAGCTTCAGGTAAGGTCGAGGTAATAAAAAAATGTCCGCCATACAGTAAGCTTACACAGTAATGCCATGGTAAACTTACATGGTAAAGTCATGGTAAGCTTACATGGTAGGGGCACTGTAAGCTTACACAGTAAGATCACTGTAAGGTTACAGTAAGCTTACACGGTAAGCTTATATTAATTGCTAACAAATAACAAAGTATTAATTTATCAACTTACAGTAAACAATAAATTGTTTTGCACAATTATATTTATTTTGCCATTTATATAAAAAACCCCGGTAGGGTTTGCTTAAAAAAATTTACTGCGCATTCGTAAGTGCCATAGAAAGCTACTACGCATAAATATTTTAAAAAAATTATTTATTGATACCTTTGAAAACTTTCCGTGTAAGCTTACTGTAACCTTACAGTGACTTTGCCATGTAAGTTTACTATGGCCTTACTGTGTAAGCTTACTGTATGGCGGACATTTTTATATTACCTCGACCTTACCTGAAGCTTACAAGGTTTTTACTTATTTATAACAAATATCTATATTTAGTTTACTTATTTTTAGTGAGGAGATTTTAAAAAAAATGCAAACAACCAAAAATTCTCTGGGTAAGTTTGGGACAAAATAAAAAATAAATATTTGAAAAATATTAAGTTTAAATAACTCCGACAAAACTAAAATTGGCATAGTAAAACTTGGGGGAAACCTTTGAAAGGATGTTCATACTACGTTTTCCAATAGTTTAAATTTTTTTTTAAAAACCAATTTAAAATTTTTTACGACAAAAGAAATGAGAAAAAAAATCAGGTCTTTTGACACAATCTTTACCAGGTTAACGGTATATATATAAAAAAAAATTCTTTAATATAGAAAATTGATTGGTTTGAATATCTAATAAATAATAAATTCAAAGAAATGAAAGTGCGACTAAAAGAAAATTCTAACAAAAGAGAACTTTACAACTTATTCATGCGTCTTAGAAATTTCTCATTTTTTTTTTTCAGTGTGAAAAGAATATATCGAAACATTAATAAAATTGAAATTTTATATTAAAAGACTTTATTTCTCATGTATAGAAGAAGAAATCAATAAAAAAAAATCTATTCTAATCAGCGCTTTGCAAAAAAGAAAAAAAAATTACGCGTGTAGTTGTGTATTATTATTATTTTTTTTTCTTCTGCACGAAATGAAGTTTTATCTCGGCATTTTCAGTTTTATAGGGTTGTTTTATGGTGGCGTGATTCTTCGTGTCATCAAATCTCATTGACACACATTGGTAAGGGTGAAGTGAAGCGAGAGAAATTCCTCGTGTCTATATACCATGTTACAAAACCACTTCCATTCATACCTGCGGGAAATCTATTTTTGTGTATAAGCGTTGGTGTTTCACAATGGTGATATAGATAGTCGATCGTTACAATATTTCAGGCTTCACACACACTCTCATACATCATGCTCAATCGAACGGTAAACTTTTATGCACGCATGATACCCTGTAAACGAGGCACATTCATTGCATTACAGTTACCTACAGTTACGTTATCTTCTACACACCAAGCATTAAGTAGAATATTAAATATATATATATATATATATTGTTAATATGTATTTACAATAGTATATAATATATATATACACAACTGAAACCATATCTCTTATTCCTTTTGTTTAGGAAAACGTATTGTTTGTGCATTGCTTGATTCGTGAATACGACAAGTGCATTGTAATGCATCTTCAGTTCATCAAAGATTAATTTTATATATATATATATATATAAATCTTGACACTGTTATTGTGTCAAATGTCAATATTCAAAGTTAAATAAAAGTTATTTTTTTTAACTATTATAAGAAAATAGATTGAAACTCTTACATATAAGAGTCAAAATTTATGAAGTCGCACTAACACTTATAAAAAATAAAAGTCAATTCATTTTCGAATAGTATAGACTGTTATAAATTATATCCTAAAAGGATTAAATTTTTTTTTTAAATATACAAAGTTCACGGTGGACTTGGACGGGACCGCATGATTATGTTCTAAAAATCATTAGTTAGAATTTTCATTTTATCGATTTTCATTTGTCATAATTATATTTGAGCCGAATTTTTATATGTTCGAATTAGTATTTTGCAGAATTTTCATCAAAACGATTTTTATTTTTGAAAATTTTTATTTGCTCGAATTTTCATTTTACATAATAGGCATTTTAAAGAATTTTTATTGGGTAGAATTTCATTGCATAGCATTTTTTTTCAAATGAATTTTCATTTATTCGAATTATTATTTAATATAATTTTCATATAATCCACTTTTTATACTACAGAATTTTTACTTAACCGAAAACTCATTTAACAGAATTTCTAATTGATATAGAATTTTCATTTGTTCTAAATTACAAATGGCCGAACAAACAATCGACAGAAAAATTTGGCGCGATTTTCAAAATCAACTAATCAAAAATTATCCATAAAATTGTGATTGGTTGATTTTGAAAATCGCGCCAAAATTTTTCTATCGATTGTTTGTTCGGTCATTTGCAATTTCGGACAAATGAAAATTCTATATCAATTAGAAATTCTGTTAAATGAGTTTTCGGTTAAGTAAAAATTCTGTAGTATAAAAAGTGGATTATATGAAAATTATATTAAATAATAATTCGAACAAATGATATAATAAAATAATAATTAATAATAAATAATAATTCTTTAAAATGCCTATTATGTTAAATGAAAATTCGAGCAAATAAAAATTTTCAAAAATAAAAATCGTTTTGATGAAAATTCTGCAAAATACTAATTCGAACATATAAAAATTCGGCTCAAATATAATTATGACAAATGAAAATCGATAAAATGAAAATTCTAACTAATGATTTTTAAAACATAATTTTCAACTGCATTTAGATTCATATTCTTAGAAAATAAGTTAAAAAATATAATAATAAATAAATATAATAATAAAATTTTAATTTTATATCACTGCAAAACGGCTGTATTTTTCATTAAAATGGATCAAAAAAAATTTACAAACGTTGTTCAAAACAGCAATAAAATTATATCGATATGTCATTGAATTTTAATTAATTCTTCTCACAAGAAAAATATTTAAAAATCCATAAAAAAATGAACCTCTTAATGTGGTTTCCCCCTTAATCCAAAAGTACTCGCTCATCTTTGTTTTTTTTTCAGATATTAATTCTACATTATTTTCTGAGTAATTTAATAAGCCTATATAATGAAAAAAATCGCTAGAAATATTATCGAATAAACTCGTTTTTGTGTATTTTTGTTTCTTTTTCATAGTATATTTTTCACTTTGAAACAGTTGAACATTAATCAATTTAATTTTTAATCATAAATATGAATTCTCTCTCAAGTTTTTGAGTATTATATTTAGAAGTGCTAGGATTAAAACTAAATGTTTGTCCTATTTTATTACGGCTCGCACAAAAGTGTTAAAAACAGAAAGTCATGAAGAAAATCGTTACTATTTTTACCTATTTTGTCTTGGTAAAACATCGACAATGATTCGTATTAAAAGTGCAATAAGTGATTTAGTGAAAAAATATTATATTGTTGACATTTTACTGAAAAAGAAAATTTTTAATGAAAAATGATATATTTTTTATTTTTATAAACAAATAAAATTTATTTTATTCTGGTTATTTATTTTTTGGTTATTAAAGTAAATATATAATTGAACTATAAAATAAATGATTGAAATAAAAAGGTACTCGTCATTGAAAAAGCAATGAGAATATAAAAAAAAAAAAAATTGTCGAATGAGAGAAAGAAACTTAAAACGTTTCATAAAGATGTGAGTACATTTGCAGATATACGAGAAGTAGCTTTTCTCAATTCCAACACTCCACGAGAAAAGTTTCAAAGTGAAAAATTCAACTGAGAAAATTCTTTTCACAATTTATTCGATTCTTGAATATAATTGTAACCTAATTGTACCTAATTTACCATGAACTGCCATATAAAAATGGTCTTTTTAATATATATATATATATATATACTACTATTTAATTTTTAAATTGAAGGAAACCATATTTCTTAAAAATTCCTTTTCAGAGGAAATAGGAAAAACATATCGTTATAATACTTTTTCTTCAATTTAATTTATTAATAAATTTTTCTCCTCAAGAAAATTGTTTTTTTTTCACAAAAATTATTTAAATACTATTTATTTTAAATTTTCATTATTAGTTGATTTTTTATTAATTTTTTTTTAAAAAGCAGGTATTTATTATTATTTATTTATCGATTTTATCCAACATTAATATTCAAATATCTCAATTTAAAAATAGTTTTTTCTATTTATTTTATTAAAAAAAATAAATTTGATTTATAATGTAATAAAATAAAAAAAACATTTTACCTTTCACTGAGTTGATCGAACCGGGCGAAAAGTTCATTAAGAATTTTAACGAGTTCGCTGGCATTATAAGTGGACGAGATGGCGGTGAATCCAACAATATCAGCATATAAAATGGAAACATTCTCGTGCCGTGACATGTAGATTTTTTTAAATTGTGTATCTAATGAGGCACCAAGATCCTGACGCATTTTCACCGCCACGTGTTCTGGAAGCACGCTCAATAAAAGTCTTTCCTGTTCGGCGCTTTGTTCTTCAATAATCAATTGAACCTCGAGACTTTGTCTTGTTTCAAGGAAGGCCCGTCGTTGTTGAAATTCACCTAGGGAATATGTCGATACACCCAGAAGAACAGCACCAATTGATAATGAGATTGTTAAAACCTGAAAATTATTACTTTTCAAATTTTTTATATGTCTTCATTTTATTTTTTATAGAAAATATAATTTTTTTCACCCAAAATTTTCATTAGAAAAGTAAACAAAAATTTGTAAAAAAAAGTAATTACTATTATTAAATAAAAATATTATTAAAAAAAATTAAAACTACTAATATTTTTTTAATTTCAATAAAAAAAATTCCTAATGTTTGCTCTAGTATAATATATACATTTATAATTAAGGAAAAGCTTTTTAAATTTCCGAGAATAATTAATTAGTAAACTTAAATTGAATGGTAAACCAAGTGGACATCAAAACTTTGGTTTAATATAAAGTTTTGAAAAATTTTTACAACTTTATTGTGTTAAACTTTGGTGAGCAGGGAATAAGATTATCTTCTATATTATATAGGGGAGAGTCAGTACGGTCAGGCCACCTTTTCGGTTGGGCCAGTACTGCGTTTAAAGCCCTTTTACATTAGCGCCATCTACCTTTGCATGCAAATACTTACTAGCGATGGTAATAAACTTTTCACGTTACTTTTAGCAAGTCTCAGTGAAATGCCCAATTTGTACAGATGTGTTTTGTAAAAGTGCAGTAAAGATTAAAAGGAAAACTTGTTTGTGGTGTCCGAAAAAGTGAATGGAACAAAATAAGAAGATGTAAACAATAAAATAAGTTGACTAAGTTTGTTCGTTAGAGGGTTCTTTTAAAATGTAATGCTTTATTTGATGTTTATATCATGCGTTTTTTGTCTGTGTAATTCAAAAGTAAAACGACGTGATAGTGATGATTGGTCCAATAAATGTAGTGTTCGTTGGGCCACTTAAAATTTTGCAATTATTATTATTTCGAGTCTACTGCAATAACGCATTATAAACGTTTCGTGTTCTGAAAACGTTTTAGGGGCGTTCATTAATTTAAATGAGATTTTTTTTTTTAAATTTGTACCCTCCCCCGTTTTGTAAGATTTTTGGGGAAGATGCAAACAATAAAGTAAGTTGAGTAAGTTTGTTCGTTAGAGTGTTCTTTAAAAATGTAATGCCTTATTTGATGTTTGTATCATGTGTTTTTTGTCTGTGTAATAAAAAAGTAAAACGACGTGATAGTGATGGTTGGGGCAATAAATGTAGTGTTGGTTGGGCCACTTAAAATTTTGCAATTATTATACGTCCTGACATCATCCCTCTCTTAAAACGCTTTTAATACTTTATTTTGACATACATGAAACGTTTTTGGAACGTTTCTTTAAAGTGAATCTAATGGATTTTATTGGAAAAATTTAAATATTATTAATTTTTGTCATTTTTCTTGAATTTTCAGACAAACTTCGAAAAAAAAGAGAAAAATCAACAGCAGGAATTTTAATTTGCACCTAATCAGTCATAGAGTGCAATAAAAATATAATGTTATTTAAAAGTTGACACAGAGCTTTTTATCTCAATTTCAGATTTCATTTCCTCATTTTCAAGAGCATTTCAAAATTTTTCTAAGTTTTACACACAGAAAAAACACTGCATAAACTTTATTGCGCGAAAAATACTATTTTAACAAATGCTAGTTCACAAAGACGGTGGTACCCTCAATTAGGGTAAAATTTGTTGCAGGCAAATATTATACAGATTTAAGGATGAAAATAATACTATGTTTCTTCTGTGGCGGTACATTTTTAATCATTTTTCTTCATATAACATTGATTTTGTACTGTGGCCCAACCGTGAAGCCCTGGTCCGACCGTAACGACAAAATTTTTTTTTTTTGAAATGCCCATAACTTTTACACTTTTAGTCCAATCATTTTCTGTTGTTCACAGAAAATGTTGCACTTAAAAAGATCTTTCCAATCATACGTGAGAAAACCCAAAATTCGGTTTAGAACGGAAGTTATGGCCACAAGTCAAAACGTGGCCCAACCGTACTGACTCTTCCCTACTATATATGGTAGAATTTTAATTTTATATAATATATTTTTTAAATATATATAAGTATTAATTCTCATTTCATTTAATTTATTGACAATGTTTGATTAAATTGAATGATTAAATTAAAAATGGTGCTAATATATTAAAATAAAATTAAAATGGAAATAAATTCAAAATTCCATAAAAATCATTAGTTAGAATTTTTATTTTACACAATTTTATTACTAGGTATAATTATTTTTTAGACGAATTTTTATTTTTAAATTAGCATTTAACAAAAAATTTCTTTTTAAACAGATTTGTTGAACATTACAGAATTTTTAGACACCGAATTTTAATTTTGCAGAATTTTTATTTAACAGAATTTTAAGTTTTTCAATTTTTTAAATGTTAGAATTTCTAATTTGCCGAATCTTCATTTGTCCGAATTTTGATTTGTCCCAAATTGCAATTGACTGAACAAACAATCGACAGAAAGATTTTGGCGCGATTTTTAATATTTACCAATCACAATTTTCTTGATAATTTAAGAAATCGCGCCGAAATCTTATTGACAATTTTCTGTTCTGTCATTTGTAATTTCGAACAAAAGGAGATTCGGTTAAATTCTGACATTTAAAAATTCTAATCACTTAAAATTCTGTTGAATGAGAATTCTGCTATATTAAAATTCGGTGTCCAAAAATTCAGTAATGGTAAAATTTGTTAAAAATAAATTCTAACTAATGATTTTTTATGGGATAATTATTATGGTTTTACTGCGTCAGTGTACGTGTATTGTTGTCTTTTATAAAGTATATTCCCGGAAGTAACAACGTGAAACTAAATCAAACTGTCATTCGTTTATTCACATCGCATGACTCTATTTTAAACCCATACCATCATTGACCGGCCTCTACTCGGCTGAAAGTAACGAACACATATATGTGACTTTTGACTCTTAAAAATCATTAAAAATCTCAACTATTGAAAAAAATAAAAAATCTGCCAATCGTTTTTTTTTTCAATAAATATTTCTCATTCTAGTTTACACGATAGCCAAAATAGTACAGATTAAAAAAAAATTTGGTTTTTTCATTTTAGATTAAAACTGTTCCAGAGAAAAAGTGCGACAAACTTTTATTCGGCAGCCATTTTTTATTAGATTGTTTAAAAAAAAACAAAAATTGTTTTCGACTTTTTAAAACGTATTTTATCATAAAAAAATTTTAAATAATAAATTTTTTTTTTTACTATAAAAAAAAATCTTTGAAAAAAATCTCAAAGTCACCGTAATCTCCCCTTAAATTTTAATCACTTTAGTGGATTATTTCAATTTATTAATTTAATTTTTCGTAATATTATTAAATTATTATTTTGAATCCGCGTGAAATAACTGTTATAATTAAAATGAAATTTAATTTAAAATCAAATATTAATTAATTACAGTGATAAATGAAAAGTAATGAGAGAATATAATGAAGTATTTATTTTGATATATATATGAGAGATTCATTTTCAATCGCCCCAGCCCAAAAAGTCAATGTTCTGGGATTGGCTTCATACTTTGGTAAATTGTTGTCCTATATGATAGTAATAAATCCCTAAAATATAAACTCATTAAAAAAATATTTGTAGAAAGTAGAGGGGGTTGAAGTTTTGACGTTAAGGGTAACATTGTCATTTTCAAATCCGTATAACTATGACAAAAGTTAATGGATTTTAATTTATCCATAATAAATTTTAATGCATTTTTCACGTACTGTTCAAAAATGTATACAAAATTAAAAAAAAAATTTTTTGACCCGTTTTTTTAAAATCAGCCCTTATTTTTCGATTTTCACCCCTTCGGGTATTTTTTTTTTTTTTTTTTAATTTCATTGAAAAGCTGAAGTTTTTTCCGATGAGCTATGTAAATATGAAAGTGGGACAACAATAATTTTCTGAGAAACAGAATATTAAAGCAGGCGGTGCCGATAACGGGTATACCTGGAGATCATCTTCGAGGATTTAGGTAGGCACCGCCTAATTTAATATTATGTTTCTCACAAAATTATTGTTGTCCCACTTTTATATTTACATAGCTCATGGGAAAAAACCTCAGCTTTCCAATGAATAAGGGTTGATTATGAAAAAAAGGGGTGAAATTTTTTTTTTTTAATTTTTGTAAACATTTTTGAAAAGTACGTAAAAAATGCATTAAAAATCGAAAAATAAGGGTTGATTTTGAAAAAAAAGGGTGAAATTTTTTTTTTTTTAATTTTGTAAACATTTTTGAACAGTACGTGAAAAATGCATTAAAATTCATTATAGATAAATTAAAATCCATTAACTTTTGTCATAGTTATACGGATTTGAAAATGACAATGTTACCCTTAACGTCAAAACTTCAACCCCCTCTACTTTCTACAAACATTTTTTAATGAGTTTATATTTTAGGGATTTATTAATATCATATAGGACAACAATTTACCAAAGTATGAAGCCAATCCCAGAACATTGACTTTTTGGGCTGGGGCGATTGAAAAAGAATCTCTCATATATATATATATATTGATTATTCACTTGCAATAAGTATTCTCTCTTTGCTCCCTCGTTGTAGATTTATGGAAAATATTATATTGCAGAGAGAAATGTCTATATTTTCAATAAATTTATATTAGTCTTTTTCAATAATAATTTGTATATGAATATTTTATAAACTTAATATATAATAAAATCCATATTAACTATATATATATATATAGTAACTAATAATAATAATAATAGTAACTATATATAATCGCAGGCTTTTTAACCATAAATCATTCAACTTTTCATTGCAATGAATATATTATCAGAGCACACATTATGTAATATGATTATATATATGTATGCTCTTTGCACATTCTAAGAATGCAACTAATTGTTTTGCTCCAAAATTTTAAGAAAAAGTAGGTAATAATTAGAAACATTTTAATCTTTAAAAAAAACACACTACAGTTTGCTATAAAGAAAATGTGTTTAGATAAACTTTTTTTCTGAAAAGAAGCTTTTGTTTCAAAAACTTTTATTAGAAATTTTTTTTTTTTTTTTAATAATTTTTCTAAAGAGAAAATATCCTTGGCACCTATTTTAGAATATTTATTATGGAAACTATTTCTCATATAATTATTAAAATATTTTATTTAATTAGGCAAAAAAAAATATATTTTTAAACATTACTTTTTTAATTTTAGAATAAATTTTTTTCGGTTTAATTTTTATCAATAGATAATTATCTTTTTCTGTATATTGATGCAGTTAAAAATAATCATTTAAAATACAAACAAATTCAATTATTCGTTTATTAAAAGTTTTTTAAAAAAAGTGATTTTCTTTTTTTTACATCAAGGCCAAAAAGATATAGGTTTATCCAGTGTGTTATACACACATAAAAAAGATTGTACATTGTTTTGTTTTCATTATTAAAAGTAAAACAAAACATTTTTTTCATAATTTCTACTCATGTTTATAAATACAATTTTAGAGTAGTTAAGCTGCAAACAAAATTTTAAAACATTTTTTTTTTTGTCCAATTATTTAAAACAATTTATTTCATTTTAATTAATATAAAAACAAAAATCCTTGAAAATAATAACAAAAAATCGAAAATAGAAACATAAAGCTACAAAAAAATTAATTAAATGTTTGATAAATCATTAAAAAAATTTTATGAACAAAAACAGAACTTTTGTGATATGATAAATCATAAAGCAAAACCATTATTTTTTCTATGATAAATTATCCATTAAAAATTTTTTTTTTCGATTTATCATCAACCAAGCATTATTAAAAAAAAAAAAGAAAAATGATAAATCGTCAAAACAAAAAAAATCAGATGTTCATATCTCATGGAGTCATTTTGTTTTGAAAACCGCGTAGAGAAATATATTTTCGAAGCAATATATTTCAACCCCCAAACAACCTTCTCGATTTGTAAAAAGATAACGGTTTAACAACCCCTAATTTTCGTAAGGTAGAAACTCAGGGAATGAGTCAGGAAAAGGGAAGTCAGAATTTTATATAAAACTCACTGTATAGCAAGTTTTACTATACATATATACCCAGCAACGAAAATGGCTACCATATATATATATATATATATATATATATATATATATATATATATATATACATAGCAAAAGCAACACGCAATGTATAAAAGATCTATATGTATGAAACTTATATATATAAAACATATATTTCCGTACCAGGACGTCAAAGGCGGATAATATTGACGATGATTTGGAGAGGCCGCTAATTGCAACAATGTACACCAAAGCCGTTCCCACTGCCAAAAATAAACACAATGGCAATCTTAATGGAAGTGTTGCAAATATTAAATACAACAATAATAATATCCATCCAAGACCATCACGATGATTGACTTCAGTGGATTTTAGAAATAGTTGAATTAGTATTTGTGCGGTAAATAATTGCCATGCCACATTAGGCATCATAAACCACAAATATCCCCTTGCTTTGATACCACGTTGTGCCCATGCCAATAGTGCAAGATTAAGTCCCATAAATATCACTGCCAATCCTCTTATAACCAATTCCAATTCGGGTAAAAATAATGTATAAACATCGTGAATTAATGCTGAGATGAGAAAACATTTTAAACCATTTCTTTTTTGTTGAAGTGATGATTGCCTATAGAGTTTTTCCAAATGAGAATTGGAGAAACTTGTCTTTAGTAAATTTGAGGGTCGACCTGAATACAGGTATGACTCCTCATTTGAGGTTTCTGGTCTTTGAGACATGGCTCATGAAATTTTATCTTTTTATTTCAATTTAATTCTAAATCCTCTTCAACTAATGATGACATTTTAGCAATTTCTATTTTTTTTTTTTTTGTTTGTTTGTTGATCTTCCCAAAACTTCCTTATATTGTTGGAAGCCTTTGGAAAATGTCTTTCTTTATGGAATGTTTGGAATTTCCCTTTCTCGAACTTTGGAATTTTCCTTCTTGAATTGTTTGGAAGTCTCCTTAATCCTTGAACCTTTGGAATGTTTTTCTAATAAAACCTTTAAAATCTTTCTACTTGTAATCTTTTTCAATAAAATATTTTCAATCTTCTTGATCAAATTTTTAAAAGAGATTATTGATCTTCTGTTATTGTTTCTTTAAATTAAAGCTCTTTTTGTTGATGCATTCACAGGAATATACTTGACGAGATTATTCTGTAAAAAAAAAAAATCTCTAATTGGATGGCAATTATATTAAAGACCTTGACTACTGGTTTACAATCGCAGTTCTTAATTGCATTTTTGTGTTTAAATTTTTGTCCTGATTTTTTGTAACGATCAAGATTGATTAGATTTGATTAGTCAGGTTCTGTGCTTTCTATCGTGTTTTCAAAATCTCTTCTAAGAGATTTTTAATCAGTTATTTTTGTAACAGATTGAAATTTTTTTTTAAATTATGATTCTCGAATCTCAATTTTGGAGAATCTCTAAAATATTGTTTTTACACTGTTAGATCTTCAATCAATAACTATTTAAAATAAATGTAAAAATTAATAAGCAATTTTCAATTAATTGTTTGTAATGATTATTACAATTATAGTAATTTCTTGATTGGCGAACTATAACAATAATTTTTTATTAGAAATCATCAATCATTAGATATCAATTAGAAAATAATCAATGGTTTTCGTATAGTTTGAATTATGAATCAATATCCGTTTATGAATTATTGTTTCTCCGATAGCAATTCTTATTCAATAGTTTTTCAATAATTATCAATTACCATTCATCAATCAGAAATTCAAAATCTTCAATTGTTCATAAGCACTTATTGATCAGCAATTATCAATCATCAACTTCCAATCAGTTCTCGATTAGTAGTCAGCAATTAGAAATTAGAAATTCACAATTTGTAATCATTTAAAATTGATTCAATCAATTAATAATTGTCATCTTTTCTTTAAGATCTAGCTTCTTTTTAAGAATTCTGTTTGGACTTGAATAATTCTCATCTACAATATCGCGATCAACATTGAGAATTTAAATTTCAGGATCGATGAGAATTTTTAAAAAAAGTTTGTTCAATCACTTTTCGCATACAGTGTTCTGGAAAACTTGTAAATGGCTTGAGAAATAAATAAAAAAAAAAAAAAACACTAAATCAATTCCAAATTCTTCGTGTGCAGGCCCTTCAACCTAAATCAAGGTCTTGCTTTCAAGGTCTTTCAATTTTCACATCAACACTTGACGACAGTTTTACATATATAAGAGATTCCACTCTCTATAATTAAAATCTATCGAAAATTCGAAAATTCTCAATAATTAGAATTTTTGATTAAAATCTAACTTTCTAAATTGATAATATTTTAATTTGGCATTTATAATGTTTCTTCAAATATTATGAAACTTAAAAATTAATTTTACTCTTCACTAATAAACTATTATTTCAGGATTGTCAATAATCTTCTAAAAGTGTTGACGAGATATCTTTAGTCTGTTGATGTTTATATATGTGACTCTTTAAAAATTAACTCCTCCTTTCTTTAAAATACTTTCCAAAATAACTTTCGAACCTTTCTAATATAACTTGTCTCTTCTAAAAATAAAACTCTCTTTAAAAAAAAAAAAGAATTCTTCATTCAAAAATAACTCCCTAATAGATTCAATAATGGTCCCTTCCAAATAAATTCTCTTTCGATTCTTTAATTGACAACAAGTTTCTTCTTTTTTTGGAGGAAAAAAAAGTCAACTTTTTTTAATAGACTTTGAAATGAAAAATCAAGTTCTATTGTGGTATATCACAAATTGCAAAAACAATACCCGGCACATATCACTCGCGTCAAATAAAAATTCATGCTTTTGAATTGTTTTTGTGTTTTATTTTGTGAAAGGAAATTTTCAAGGTCAATTTTATATTATGAGAATATAAGAGGAAAAAAAAAACGACACACTAGGACACGTGAATCACTTTTTTTTTTTTAACCGAAAGTCGAAGCGGGCGAGCAGGTGATATTCACCTGCTCACCTCATCGGCGAGGTACAGGATTGGGTTTCGGTAGCGGCAATTCGTGATTCTATAAGGTTCGAAGCGGCAAGTCTATAACTCAACCCACGGCTGTTAGGATGCACCGCCCGCACGCGGGGGACTGGCCGGGTTACTACCAGCAATTCTCGTCTCTCTGCTTCCGCTAGAAAAGCAAACGATTTCCAGGCTTGCGCCATGTAAAGCTCACCCTACCCGGGTCGATATCAAGTACCACCAACCCCCCAAAGTATATCCATCCACCCTCCCCCCTCCATCTGTCACAACCCACCACCCACTCGTGCCACTACTTTTTCCTCTCTCTTTCCACTAGCACCCAAGGAATTATCCTCTGTACTATTTTGTCACTACTCTGCTCGCGCCACGACCTTCGAACTTGAAGGAGAGAGCGTGAGAGAAAAAAATTAGGTACCATCATTTTTTTTTCTCTCACTATACTCTTTTTTTTATTACTGACACCTTCCGGGAATCCTCCCTCCCCTCTCTCTCTCTCTCTCTCTCTATCTATATCCGGTTGACTCTTCCGCTTTTATATATGAACTCACGTCACCTTCACATTGATGTGGCACGCACTCTTTAAACACTATATAGCACGAGTTTCTGACTGATCGTTTTCCAATAGTCAATTATCGCAGGCGACAAATTGCGGGTGGAAAGTAGAGTCTTTAGAACGAAAGATAGAGAGAGAGAGAGAGAATATTAGCTCGTGCGGAAATTGCCCCAATTTTCCCCATTTCAAATAGGGCTTTGGTTAGGACCACGACAGATTTCCTATAGTTTGGAAAAAAATATAAGTGCCACGCCGGAATTGAATTTTAACTATGTACGTTTTGTAAATAAACAAAAAATATTTGACACATATTAATTTATTAATTCCGTGCAGAAATTATGGTCTGGGCCTCTCAAAGCCCTTCCCAGTACGCCTAGATTCTGGCAAACTGGCAAGGCCTTAGTAATGGCTTGAGACGGTTTTGCAAGGATTTGCCCTACTTAGGGATAAACTTGCCAGGGCCATGAGAGTTTTCTTGGGAATTACCCTATATTTTGTGACAAAAAGAACAATCAGTGAAAAATGTACTACAGGCTTATAATCAGTTGTAATGAGTAATTGATTGAATCAGTAAGCAACAAAAACTTGTAACAAAACAAAAACAGAAGAATGCACAATTCTAGCCTGACAAATAATAATCCCAAAGTCGATCCAACTTCAAATATGTAGTAACACCAACACTAAACAAAAAAATTAAACATGGGATTAATTATACAATTAACACATTATTTATTACTGGAGACCTTATATTTATCCCTACCTATTATTATTTAACGCAATCGCTTACATAAATTTTGAAAAATATTTAACGCTCGCTAGGATCGAACCACCTAACCTAACGCTCCGTAATCTAACACGCTAACCATTACGCCAACTTAACGTCACAGAAAAAACCTAGTCTCATTTTTGTTGCAAATCAAAATGAGCCAATGCTAAACGACATAGACAGTGGCGCCACCAACCTGGTTAATTTTTGTTGCACATCAAAATAAGACGCCTAGGCGGCTTATTCTGAGTTCAGTTTTTTTCTGTGGTGAGAAAATAAATAGGGGAATAGTGTCAGGGTTGGACACTTGGCTTTTTTTAAGTAAGAACACTAGCGCCACCTGTGTGCGTACGTGACGAATCTTCTAGTAGTGTAACCTAACTTTTTGTGGCATTACATTTTTGGAGAATCAAAAGTAGCGTCTCCTGTGACTTCGGTGCAATCGAAGAGACAAAAAAAGTTTTGTTTGACTTGTGAATAAACCTAAAAAATGTGTTAAAAAAGCAAGAATTCGGCAAGGTAAGCATATTGAATGTATTGTGGGGTACATAATTTAAGAAGAAAAAAAGTGAAAAATCGAATCGCGACACATGTCTGGTTATGGTTAGCACAATTCGAAAATGATGCTTCTAGTTAGGGTTGGACACCCATATTAATTATGAATTTGACGCAATTTATAAATAAATTTTATTTTATTGATATTTCAGTGCAAAATTGTGCCAAAGATATTAGAAAAATAATACTTAAATTGTATAAATTTTGTTCATCATTTCATTGAGTTATTTGGAACAATAAAGCGTTATTTTTTGTAATTTGAGTTCATTCCTTTTTTAAACCTATGAAGCTTTACAATTTGTAAACAATAAATAAAGATAAACATGAAAAAATAAGAATAAAAAACATTACAAATTTTATTTTACGTTTTTACCAATAATGCGTTTCGATTTTCAAAAAGTGCCCAACCCTGACTGAAAAGTCCAACCGTGACTAGATTTTTGTTTAAATGTTTATAACTTTTTTAATTTTGGACCAATCAATTTACGGTCCACAGCAAAAGTGTTCCTCTTTTGTAGATCTTTCCACCCATATACCACCCTACAAAATTGATTTGATAAGTTGCGATTGAGGAAAATGAAGACTTGAACAGCAGAACAATAAAGAAACAATAATAATTACATATAAATTATAATTTATTTTTAATGTTAAATAATTTATTTAACATAAGTCAATATTTTGCATTTTTTATTTTATTAAAACTTAGAAACATAATTTTTCTTATTATCTAAAATATATAGATAATATAGTAAAAAAAAGACAAATAAATTTTAGTTTTTGTAAAGAAAAAATTATTTATTTCTTTTGAGTTGTTGATAAAATTCTTAGATTTCACCCACCTCTAAAGTTAAGTACCTATTATGAAGAATTCCAACTCTCTGTTAGAATAATTTCGATTGTATAGAATTAAAAAAATCAATCGAAGATCAGGAAAAATATCACTAAGCAGGAGTGTATAAAATTAAAAGTAAAGTTCGTTTTTTAATTTTGTGGTTTTGTATGATTTAAAACAATCCTTATATATTATGGGTAAGTCCACGTCAGAAATATCAGAATCTGCAAGTGGTTCGTCGATTTTAATGATACTTGGTAAAATTATAGCTTTATATAAGAACAATGTGTGAGTAAAAGGAATTTTTAAAATATCTAAAATTGTATGAGTTATATCACTTTTAATTTTGATACTGCATTTTTTTCTTTCCTTTATATCTCGGTCAATTTTCAACCGATTTTGATGAATCAAAAACGATTTTTTTCAGAAAATTACGTATTTTCAGAAAATTTTAAAATAAAAATAAAATTTTGTTATTTAAATAGAAAAAAATAAAAAACAAAATTTCTTTTAGATTTTTTTTCAATTCTTATATAAAGCTATAATTTTACCAAGTATCATTAAAATCGAAGAACCACTTGCAGATTCTGATATTTCTGACGTGGACTTACCCTTATGTGGGAAAAATTTCGGTGCGTAAAGTAAATTTCAGTGTGTAAAGTAATATTTCAGTGCGTAAAGTAAATTTCAGTGCGTAAAGTGAATCACTTTACACACCGTTTGAAAAAGAGCTTCTTTACATACAATTTTCGGTATGTAAAATTTAACTTTAGAGGTTAGTGTTGCAAAAAATAAATTATTTTAATTAATTTTTCTAGGATTAAAAAATATTCAATCCTTTCAAACTAATTTAATTCTTGAAAATAGACATTGAAATATTTTGCTTTACCTTTTTGGAAATCGATGAAAATAATGAATAATTAATAATTTTAATTCATAATTTATGTACTCATATGATCTAATTGAACAATGTTAGATACTAACATACAGCCGCCATTATTTTTATTAATTTTAAATATTTTTTAGAAAAAATGCCTTGAACGTATAATCTGCCCTCTTCTAGAGAATGACCCTTATTAGTAATATTCTAAACTATAATCTAACATACGATTTATTTTAAAGAGAATTAAAAGTTCAAAATTCTCACAAACTTTAATATCGCATATCATTGTAGACTTTTTGATTCGACTTATATTTGAAATTCCTTTTATGTCACAAGGAGTATAAGAAATATAAAAAATTGAAGAAAACTTTTAGGAACAAAATTGATTTGTCGTGGTTCAGAAGTTATATCTATATATGCGATTCTAAATCGATTCAGATGATTGATTGAATTGTATTATATATATATATAAAAAAAATTTTTCTTCTTCACTGTCCACTTTCCTTCCAAGCAATGAGATATTGAGGGATCGTTGGTTGAAAAATTTCGAATGATTTTCTGTGCGACTAAGTAAATTCAACTTTTTTTTTACCTTGAAAGTGTATTGGATACCGGAAGTCGTCTTCTTTTAACGATAGAAAGACTGATGGATTGTCGATTGAAGAAAATATTCTTTTAAGTACTAGCCACTCCTTTGTATAATAAATTTCATTTTCTTGAAAGTTTCCCTTTGGAGAATTCTTTTGTCGAACACGTAGAATTGGTAGTGCTGTTTTCTATATATTTTTTAATATTATTTTCAAGACACTTGTATATAAATATATGGCTCATTTTATTTAAATTGTCATATTCGTGTCCCTTGCCAAAAAAAAATTATTTGATATAAACTTAGTTGAAATTAATATTTTTATATGATAAAATGCAATATTTTTGAATAATTTTTCTACCTAAAAGAACATAAAAGTGATTTTCATAATATTGCCAGAACAAAAAACAAGCAAAATGTCATAAGTGTAATTTGTCCACAGCGACATTTTCAATGTTCGAATGAATGGAAAGTCGAATTTTTATTGTTTAAACAAGATTAAAAAAATGTTTCGTGAAGGATTAGTTCTATATTCAAAGAAAATCAAATGTTGGTAATTAAACTTTATTTTATACCACTTGCAGAAAATAAAAATGACGTGTCCCTCACTTTTGTATTTTTTTGTTTTGTCGGCAGAATTTCCTACTTTTACCTAATATTTAATTTACCTTATGAGCAAAAAAAATTTCTTTACTATCGCATACGTAGGAGAACACAACAACCAAGTGTGTGAAAAAAACGAGAACGATATAAATTTAAATCTGATCGTTCGACATGAAGGCAGAAAAAGCCGCAACAATTTTCTAATTGAATTTTTGTCAACAGTGTAACGCCTCAAAAATGGTAAGTAAATATTTTAAATTTTATATCGGTATGAAATTTAATGTATTTTTTAATTCTCTTTTCGAATGAGACCAACCACGTTGGTATAAGTATAACCGTTTTTATTTTATAAG